AGCTTCAGGCAAACCTAATTATGGCCCTCGATCTAGTCTGGTTGTAATGCCAAAGGGAGCCAGTACTGCTTTAGGTTCTGGCAGCTTCAGCAGCCGTGACGTCAGATCAGGTGGTGACCTTGATGGAATAACGTGGCTCTGTATGTCTTTGTCACTGAGAGTCAGCAGGCTGATTCTGGAAACATTCCTCACAGGGAGGAGGGGGGCGGCGGGTTATTGAGAAATAACTGGAATTCGTCTTCTTCGTCACAAATATTTAGTTGTGGCTCTTTCAGATTGTGTCCTTGCTGAGACAGAGGGCTGGCGGGCTGGCTGGCGGGGTGGGTGAGTGAGTGATGATGCAGCATCCAGCCCTGTCTGCTTAGCTGGCGGCCAGAGCAGGGCCGTGCCACGCTGAGCTGAGCCAGGCCAGGTGGAGCTCGGTGCCCATGTACTAGGCAGGTGAAACAGATCGTTTTCAAGGAGAGGGGACAGAGAGATAGAGAGAGGTGGGGGAGGGAGACATGAAGTGAGGACAGGGATGAAATGGACGGCATGTGCGAGGATGCATGAACACACTTGCTCTGCTTCTGGCTGCAGCCAGGCTCACGGAAATGGGTTTTTGCTGAGGAAGACCTGAAGTTGCAAAAAGAGTTCCTTGAGATGTTATCATTATATAAAATTAGTAAAATTTTCCATATCAGGGAAATAAATACTTTTCCCCAACACAGCTGTGCATGTGCAAAAGAGGATAGGCGACATCTGCTTGTCTCTCCTTTGTATAGATGTAAGACAAATATTTCAAGTGATATTTCCTAATGGCTTGTGATGGACCATGATGTAAGGTACATTTAATCTGAAATGACACGATATGTAACGAACATGTCAGCACCCATACATTAATTTGCCATTTACCACAAGGACGGAAAGAAGAGGGCCCTTTGAATTGTTGCTGTGGCCCTCATGGATGCAGATGCTGCAGCCCTGCCTGATGGCTAGGGCTGCATTGAAGCCTCTCTCTCTCTCTCTGTCTCTCCCCCCCCCCCCCCCCCCCCTCTTCTCTATCTTCTGCCCAGCTCCCTCGCTCTGGCTCCCCCGCCCCGCTTCTCCTCAGCCTGCTGGTGCTACAGTTGCTGCCTGCCTGCCTGCTTCACCCGCACTCCATCTCCCCTGTTTTCTGCCTTTCCTCTCCTCTGCTCGCCACTTTGCTCAGCTCTGGATTATGAAATTTTCAGTAGCTGTGCAGCAGATTAGTCATGCGTTACAAAAAAAATGACTCCTTACATATATAGCAGTCATGTATGTGCGTGCGTTTGCGTGTGGATGACGGCCTTTGTGCATACTGGTTTTTTTTTTATGTGTATAGGTCATGCATATGCACACAACATATGTGTGTGATATGGTATTTAACAGAAATGTTATGCTGCTGGAAACTGGGACTTTTCCATGATGTGTGTCATTATGCCTGATCATAGTGGTGACTGGGTATGTTTACAGTATATATGAGGGGGAGAGGCTGCTGTTCTGACCCATAATAGTAACTAGAGAGTAAGATTATCTAAGCATGTTTAACTGGGCTGACTCTCGAATTGTCTGTAGATCAAATTAATATCAGGGGTGTCATGTGACCGAACGTCCTCTGGGCTGACAGGCTCTTTTTGTTTCCATGTTCATGTTTCTAGTAAACAACATTTTACACATTTTACTCATTTCTGTTGGAAGTGCACAGATCACATGCAGCCATGTGACACCACCATGAGGTCTCTTACTGTAAGTCTCCCCTCCCATTCTTACGTCTCCTCCTCTCCCTCCCTTCTGACTCCACTGTCTCCAGCCTCCAGCACTGAGCTGGTGGCTGTCCACGGCTTAATGTAGTGAGGGGTGCCTTGTTAAAAGCACAAGGGCTCATATCACTTGTGCAAATGCACAGTCTCATTAAAGTTTCATGCAAATTGCCATCTTTTATTTAAACAACTTTGAGGTTATCCACAGAAAGAGGCTTGGCCGCCCCTCTCAGCTTTGCTCGTATCCTTCTCTTGAAACTACAAAAGCCATGATGTGCAGGACGGCACTGAGTGACTGGGACAACATACCAACATTAGAAACATCCTGGGAGCCATTTTCAGTCTGTTCAAATGTATTTCAGTTCATTTTATGTGACAGAAAATGCACACTTACTACTTTCTTACTGTATCTACGTACATATGGGATTTATGCTATATATGCAGAGAACATGCTCACAATACACAAAATAAATTAGCATATTAGTTTCTGTATCAAATTCAGTTGCTTTTGTTAAATGTTCTTGATGATTGTGCATTTGCTGAAATAATATGTGTATTTTTATCTGATTGTTAATTGATTAATTCTCTCTTCCTCTGTGTTTTTCTTCTCTCCACAGACATTTATAGTGCTAAATAAAGGGAAGACAATCTTCCGTTTTAGTGCCACACCTGCCTTGTACTTCATAAGTCCTTTTAATCCGGTTAGGCGAATAGCTATTAAAATTTTGATACATTCATATCCTTTGAAATGGTGTCTTAACAGCAGAGACTAAAGGGTTTCATGTTCACATGTATTATTCATGATGATACGTTGTGTCTTTCTGCTCGTGTTGCTGTTGATGTTTCCTGTGACATAGAAGTATGAACAGACAATAGCCTATGATATGGAGTCTGGAGATGGCAACTATTAGCATGTCAGATATAAGAAAATGATTTCTTTACATGAATAGCATTCAGGAAGCCATTTTATCATTGTAAGCAAAGGCTAGCACAAGTGATGAGTCATCCTTAACAGTAAACCAGGCTGGATCTCCTCAATAAGCCTATTAGGGTTTAACACTGTGCCATCCATCTTAGTACCCAGACAGAAGATTTGAAGGCAGTACCCCTCTTTGTATCTGTGTATCTGTGCATCAAATATTCATTCGCCATGTGACAATGAAAGTGATCCCCGATTAATGCTGGAATCCAACCAGCACATTTTCACTGGCTACAGTTAACGTAAGATATTTGACCAGCAACCAGCAAACCAAACATAGGCTACACTACACAGACACAAGCCTAAAAACGTACCCCACTGATTTAGCATCGCATTCCTATAACAATGTTGGACTCACAATGGACAGTTTAAAAAGTATAAAAGTTGATGCAGCAGAACTAGATATTCTTCTTCCTTGCTACAATAGGCAGTCTACATTGCCCACAATGCAACTTGAATGCTGACATCTGAATTGGAGATTTGGGTGTGTGATGCTAGGAGTGGCTAATGTGACCTCGAGCCGCTAGCCTCATGCACAGATGAGGAGTGGGCTACAGAGGTCTGGTGAATTCACTTCTCTTTAACTCCACAGATTTATTTTCATTTTCAAACTTGTAGGCTTCAGCCCCGACCATTTCCTTGATGTATAACATCATTGAAGTTCCCCTCAATGTCAAGTATTGACTTGAGTTCAAAATGTCATTATTGTTTCTCCATGTCTTCCGGCTAATATTTGGCTTTACAGCTCCCATTTTTAATTGAATGATAACAAATCTACTTTTGCCACAACCTGTCACAACTTGGGATCTTAAAGTCACAGTAAAATGGCAGTTAGTGTCTGTTAGGAGTGAAATGGAAAATATGATTATGGTATAATTAACGGGAGGGATTTGTTGGCCTCCACCCACACCTCCCTTGCTGGGGTTGTCAGACAGAGAGCAGGACAAGGGAGAAACACATCTCCTAGTATGATATTGCTCTGCTGGCAACTACGGCCCACAGCTATCTGATTGGATACATTTATGTAAATGCCCCTAAGTTCAGGATGAGTCATCTAAAAAAATTAACGGTTTTAAAGGAACAAAAAAGAGGAATTTTGATGTAAAAACACATACAGTATACTTGACAGCGACCAAAAGACAAAACAATTAACACAGGGACACAGGAGTAGAACTTGGAAAAATTATTTTATATTTTTTTATTTCATTATGTCTTTGAATATTTGAGAACATAATTTTGTTTTGTTGAAAATTATAAAAATTTGTTAGTAAATTACATGTTCATTTGAAATACTATATGCAAAGCCATTATCTTATAAAGATGACTTTATTTCAGCTGAAATCATCTCAGTATATGGTAATATCACGTTAATTACTGAAATTACAAAAAAGACTTTAAAATATATTATAGTTGCTTTCTCAACCTTCCATCATTAACAAAGGGCATTTGTTGATAGTGTGCGATGTAGGCCTTTCCCTTTTATAAATGATGTTGGATACATCTGAACTTGTAACAAAAGCTAAACTAAACTTTTTTTTAAATTCTGAACAATTTTGATTGTTGTTCTTTCCCCACGTTTACCTGATTTCCTCCCATTCTTAGCCACAAGCCACAGGGTTTAGACCTTTGCAATGAAACCTTTACAGCTTTAAAACAAACTTGTATTTCCAATAAATATATACCATTTCAATATTTAATGGGTAAAATAATGGCCTTTGTGGTAGTGAACATACATAACCACCTTCTGTTAAGTGCTATGAGTAGTTGTTTTTGCATTGCTGTTTTACATTTCAATGATGTTTGATGTGGTTTATGATGTTTCTATAATCCGTATTTTCCTTAACCTGCTCCTCACTCTTTTCAGCATGATCATTATGTGTACTATTTTGACCAACTGTATATTCATGACCTTTAGTGATCCTCCCGAGTGGTCAAAACAAGTAGAGTAAGTACATATTCAATATTTTTAATTAAAATGCATGCTAAACACTAGCCCCAGTTTGTGCCTGCGTATTACCATTACATTGGAGCGCAGCGTTAAGCATCCGATGTTACGATAAAGAGCTAACTTTGAATCTAGAACTTTGCGCTGTTCTAAAGATAGTTCCTGAATCCTTAGACTCCTCTAACCATCTGGATGAAAAAACAATGTCCATTGCACAATATAACTGATTTTTAACTTTTCTTATTACCTAACCCAGTAAGCCCAAAATTACATATGTTTTGTAAAACACAAACTAAATATTAGCACTTTGGAAGGAAATATTAATATATGCCAATATGGCTGAAATTTAAATGTTTTGGTTTCCATTATACAAATTGAACAAGGACGTGTGTCATCTTTGGCTTTCCATCTTTGTTTGGATTAGGAAATACATGCAAAACTTTGATAAATCCCAATATATTTTTTCAGTCTTTGACCGCAGTTCTAAGGTTAGGCAAGTAGGGAAGTTATAGACACTGGGAACATAGATGCACTCCCATAAGCTAACACGCTGAACTCGGATGGTAAACATTATTGCTAAACATCCGCATGTTAACACTGTGTGCATGTTAGCATGGAGATGTTAACATTTAACTCAAAGTATGGCTGTAGACTCTTATTTAAAGATGGCTGTGCATGCTAGCTTTGTGACTCAAATTCAATAGTAATACATGAGAGGCACAAACTGGGGCCAGCTAATTCCAGAGAATTCATGTGCTTAGTTAAAAATAATATTTGGAAGAATTTAACTTACTTTATCATTCCAAATTTGTCCTGTGCTCTGCACTGATCTTTATAATTTCCTGGGTGTTTCAAAAGCTAACAAGGGTGCAGACATTAAGGCATGAAGGAGCTTTGATCCAGCTTGGTGAACTGATTCTGTCAACGCTTTTTTTCCTTTCAGGTACACATTCACAGGAATTTATACATTTGAGTCTCTTGTAAAAATCTGCGCGCGAGGATTCTGTATAGATGGGTTTACATTCCTCAGAGATCCATGGAACTGGCTGGATTTCATGGTCATATCGATGGCGTAAGTATTTCTCTTGTAATTCAGACTGTCAGTGAATGACGAAATGAAATCCTATGCACAAATATTGCCATTGTTTTGTTAAAGAGGGTGGGTTAAGAAAGTGAGCTTTCAGTGCTAGAGATGATTGTTCATCTTTCTGTCTTTCTTTCTTCTTCCTTTCTGTCTGTCTGATAAACCATCTTCTGTGTTTCCCCTATTGATCTGAGACTTCTCTGGTCTTTCTCTTTGGGAATTGAAGGTTTCCATCTGACACTCTGCGGCCTCCCTGACAACACCCACACCTCAGTCCCATTCATCCAATTTATCTTCCTCTTGTCATGTAACTCTCGCTCTCATTCACCCTTTCTCTCTCAATCTGCCAAAGTCTGCAACATTCAATTGAAGGCCCAGTGTGAGATTACATTTACAGATTTTCCTGCTTCTATATGAGCAAATACACACCCACAAATGATCAGCACCATGCGACATACATCTCCATTGTTTGCAGAGCTGTCCCATAGCCCATCTGTGTGTGAAGTTATCTTTTCACCTCATATATGCATGTAAATAACGAGCTGTTGTAACTGTGGTTTGATCCTGCAGGTATATAACAGAGTTTGTAAACCTAGGCAATGTCTCAGCTCTGCGCACGTTCAGGGTGTTGAGGGCATTGAAAACTATTTCTGTAATTCCAGGTAAGACAGGATGGGGCGGGGGACGGTGGGGCGGGGTCGGTGTTAGGTGTGTGTGTCCTTCTTTCCTTTTACCTTCCACCCTTCTCCTCAGTGGACAGGCTCTGTGAGTGGCGTCGTTTCCTCCTGGTTCGGTGGTGTTGTGCTCTTGGCGTGTGTGGTTTTTGTCATCGTGTTTGTTCTGTGTGTGATCCTTCCCCTATTTCAGATATATAACAGAGTTTGTGGACCTGGGCAATGTATCTGCGCTGAGAACATTCAGAGTTCTCCGAGCATTGAAAACTATCTCTGTCATTCCAGGTGAGACTCAGTTTAAACACTAAGGCTGATCCTCTCACCCTTTCTTTTCTACTCACTATTATTATGATTACGATTATGATTTAAGCAACAACAAAATAATTGGAGACAACCATTTTTTGATTTATTTTTCCTCCAAAATTATCAAAAATGGTACTAATACATTTTTGATAGGCTTTGCAGTCTCCTCTAGGGCCCTCCAAAGTGTCTGCACTCTTTTCTGCCCCAGTAGCATTCTCATTATGAGGCTTGTTTCCAAGGCAGCTGTGTTTCTCTTCAGAAGTAGCTTTAACCCACTCCTTTCTTACTAGCTTTTTGAATAAGCAAATGCCTTGTTCTGTAGAAAATAATACTTTTGGAAGACATGTTAAGGAAGAAATCAGATCACTATACATGGTATTTATCACCTTAGTATAGTTTATAGCTTCTCAAATTTGCCAGAAATTCTAGTAGTTCTATTACAAAAATGAAAGTTGTTTTACTTGCTGAAATAAAAAAAACAATTTTGTTGAATTGGAGAGGATTCCATGTTTTTGGGATCAAAAACAAACCTTGTAGATGTTGTCCATATGAGAACTGGCATAGCTCTTAGAGAGATCCCACAGTATACACCTATGATTTATGTATGAAGACTGCCAAGCCTAGCTTGTGAACATATCTCTTATGCTGCATGATGCTTTCAGTCACTTGCTTTTACAATATTAGCCTACCTAAGAGCTTGGCTGACAAATGGCATTGGAAGTTTGATTTGCCCTCTTTTGTTTTTTAGTTTGATATTGATTTTTTTCTCTCTTTTTTATGACCTAAAAAGAAACAGTGTGCTCACATTGTAGAGGTTTGGGGACGCAGATAGGAGGCTTGAATGACCTCTTGACCTTTCTGAGTGACACTGACCACACATCTGTCTATCTGTCTATTGATAGAGGATGTAGAACAGATGTCGTGGTTACTCAAAAGAACTACTATGGATGGCTTTTTGACACAGTCATTTGGAAATATGAGAAAGGAAATCCTGTAAGTGCAAACAAAATGGGATTGTGTTATAATTAAACTGTAAATAAAAGAGTAGTGGGAAATACACTTATTTGCTTTCTGGCAGAAAGTTAGATGATGTAGATCGATACCACTCTCATGTCTGGAAGGTAAATATAAAGCAACCCTGAGTAGGCATCTAGCTTAGCTTAGAACAAAGACTGAAAACACGGGGAAACAGCTAGCCTGGCTCTGTCCAGTGGTAACAAAATCTGCCCACCAGCACTTCACTAATCATCATGTTATACCTTGTCTATGGCCAAGATGTAGCATGTTAAGATGGTATGCTGATTTTGTTACCTTCGTTAAATTTTGTTACCTCTGGACGGAGTGAGGCTAGCTGTTTCTCCCCACCAAAATGTGACTTAGCATAGCTCAGTAACAACTTCATAACTATAGTGGAGAACATTTTGTTTTTATAGTGTAGTTTTAGTCCAGCTGACAACGTTTCATGAGCAGTTGAGGGTATGGTTTGAGAAGATCTGAAGTTATGGGGGTATTTTAATATAATACCCTACTACAAGTGATATTTTAACATACTTACATATCTTCTCGTGTACTTCTAGATTCTAGTTATTTTAATTTAAATAGGAATAGCTCTTTGTTCTTCTTAATGGACTCTGCCAAGCTAATTGAGCTTTTACTAAGATTGTAAGGCTAAATTGAAACCATATTTTACAAGAAGACACAGTACAGCTGGTAATGCCCAGTGTACGTGTATGTGAGACCCAACAAAAAAGGGGGTGCGGGCCATCCTGCTTCCATGTATGTTCCATGAACGCTGCCAGAGGATGCCTGTCTGGAAGGTAAACCGATTTTGTCTTTAGTGAAAGTGTGGATGAGACAGACTGCAGGGTCATGGTATGGGGAGTCAGTGCTTTCCTAATGACACCTTATACAAGACAGTTCAAGAAAGTGCCCACACTGGCACTGGCATTGAATTGCTCCTGTTCAGCCTTGGAGTTTAAATGACCTGCATGTGGTTTCCTGCCTCCCTGCCTGTGCCTTTGTTCTTCTCATGGCCCTCTTTGTGCTGCTCTCTTCCTTATGGATTTCCTCTCACTTTTCTACAGTCTTCCCCCTCTTTCCACTTTGTCCATTATTAGCAAGGAAATACAAATTCCTTCTGTCAAAAAGACAGAAGCCATTTTGATTTGATTTCTATTAAAACAATGTTTTCTGTCTGGATGAATCTGGAAAGAGTGGGAAGGCTCCTAAATATTTCCTGTTTGTTTTGTTTCTAGAGATGTTATGTATGTAATCTGTCAGTTTTGTCCAAAATGTATTACTACCTTTAGCTAAAGTTATAAAATTCTTTAGTTTAAGTTTCATTCATATAAATTCCCGCTTTTGTTGCGATCAGGAAGCATACAAATATAACATATTAACATTTAGTTGTATTATAACATTCATAATTCAGTAATTCATATATAAAAAATGTCTTTCAATAGTTTAATTCAATTTAATACAAAAGCAGTACAGCGTTGCCATTACCAGATTTTTACCTAAACTGTGTTAAAACTGGATATTTCCTAGTGGTAGATCCCTTAAAGGGATTAGCATACAAGCAGTATTAGTTATATAAGATCATTTGTAATTGAAGTAGACACTCCAAAGATTCATACCTGCGGCATTAGCATCTTCTGCGTCACCTGCGTGGTTTATGTATGTGTGTGCGTGGCTGCCCTCCAGGCCTGAAGACCATTGTGGGCGCCCTGATCCAGTCTGTGAAGAAGCTTTCGGATGTGATGATCCTTACCGTCTTCTGCCTGAGCGTCTTTGCCCTCATCGGCCTCCAGCTCTTCATGGGCAACCTGCGCCACAAGTGCGTGATCTGGCCAATCAACAGCACCGAGAACTACCTGGCCAACGGCAGCAAGGGCTTCGACTGGAATGAGTACATCATGAACGAGAGTAAGTAGAGGCTAGGCTTCGGCAACGGTGAGCTGGCAGCGATCTAGGGGTATGAGTCAGCCCATATGCTGGAACGACAAAACAATATGTCATTTTGGCACTAGGTCGACAGAAGGAATTGGATGAAATGACCCGCGCTGAATTGAAAATGCATGAGAAACTGAAGTCAGAAATAGTTCTGAACAGATTTATAGAGCGTTGCGGAATAAACAACTGTTCTAGCTGCGACAGAATGTGAGCGAAATGACTCATTATGGCTGTTTTTGTTTTTTTGTCTTCAGCCAATTTCTACTTCCTGCCTGGCCAGTTGGACGCTCTTCTATGTGGGAACAGCTCTGACTCTGGGTGAGTTGCCTTCTCAGCCCTCCTCCAAATGCTGCTGATTCTACCAAGACCTGCTGTAGCTCTTCTCTCTGCCTGAAGTCAGATTACATTATAAGTAAATAGTGCTGAGTCGTTTTCGGGCTGAGTGCCCTTCACTCTCTCTCTCTCTCTCTTGTTCCACCCCTCAGCCGCTGCCCGGAGGGCTACACATGCATGAAAGCTGGGAGGAATCCAAACTACGGCTACACCAGTTTTGACAGCTTCGGCTGGGCCTTCCTGGCTCTCTTCCGACTCATGACACAGGACTTCTGGGAAAACCTTTACATGCTGGTAAACCTAATATGTCAAAAAGTTCAGCTTGTTCCATAGGAGGCATATACAACACATATAACACTCATTACTACTGCCTATAAAACTGCATATTGGTACTTAAATGGTTAATCGATTAAGTGACTGGTTGATCAGTAGAAAAGCAATATTTCCTGGTTCCAGCTACTCAAATGTGAAAATTTTAAGTCACTGTAAATTTAATATGTTTTGGCTTTAGACTGTTGGGCGAACTACAATTGATGTAAAATTGTTAAATTATACATGAGTCTAATATTTTGAAGTATCATAGTTTTATGCACACTGTAAGTTAAACCCAAAAGCCAAAAAGGACATTGAAAAGAGTAGCAGATATCCGTGTTGTCATGCTGGAACTGGTGGATCATTCTGCCGCGCGTTTTTCCCTCGCTCGCACTTTGACTTGCCTCATCTACAAACTGTAGCTAGGCCACGTCTGTCTTGTCTGTCAGCCTCTTCCACGCAAAGCCTCCACATTTGGAGGCTGAGTGGAACGGAGAAAGTATGAAATATTAACACCTCAGGATTACAGTATGGCCAATGAGGTACATGAGACCTGATGGGAGCATTCAATCTCATACTTCTATTTTTGCTCCTGTCTTTGAAATTCAGCCCCGAACTACAGGCTCTCACTGCTATGATGTAATTGTATCTTTAGATTAAATGGTTATGCAGCCGTGTTTAGGTCCGAGGTTGAATGTTCAAATGTTTAGAAATGAAATGAAATTGATGTGGCAGAGTAGAGAACGTAACACCATCCCCAGTATTGCCAATGATATTTTTTTACCTGCTCACATGAGATTCGGCGATGTGTGGGACTAAATGACAATGATTTTGACTCCTAATCAGTTGCTTCTCTTGTTGGAAATGTTACTATAGATACACTTCCCAGCATTTCATGTCAACTTCATTCATAATTGATGTGTGAGGAAATTTCACTTCTCTATCCCAGGAAGCCCTCTCTTCTTTTTTTTTTGCTCCCTGAAGACAGTAGTTTGCCTTTAGAAGGGGAAACCAAAGGAGGCTGATGAGAGAGACAATTTTAATAAAAATGTAGGGCCCCATTTACTGGTTGATTTGTTAAACCCTGTACTAAAACTGCATTAAAATGAAGGTAGGCATCATGAACAAACATTAAGAAAACAGTTCTTTCCAGAATGTTCTCAGTTGTGTTGCCGTGCCTCTGCAGCTCAGGCTCCTCACTTCCCATCTCCACTGGGGATAGCATCCGGATCTATACAAACTGTGCAGACTAAGAATAGATGTTATGGTCTATGTATTCGTGCATCATTGGATTAAATGAAAGTAGAGCTAATTCAGCGTATTAGTACTCATACCAGACAACAGACATTAAAATTTTGGTATGAAAGCTGTATATGTGTTGCATCTTTGAATCTACTGCCCAGAGGAAGCCTAAGACATTTATGCTAAGTTGATTTTTGCACCCAGAAATGCCCAATCAAGCCAATCTGCCCGTTCTCTTTTACTCCACATCAGCTGACTCTGTTTATTTCTGATGAGTCATTGTTAGAGATGAGCAGTGAGGTCGACACTGAGCTTGACTCTGGGGTTGAGGTTTTGTATCAGATGTCATGAGTGTCTCTGCTTCCCCCTATCACCCCCACCCCACCTCCTCTGCACTGCCTCCCAACAGACCCTGAGGGCGGCAGGGAAGACCTACATGATCTTCTTTGTGTTGGTGATCTTTGTGGGTTCGTTCTACTTGGTGAATCTGATCTTGGCTGTTGTGGCCATGGCCTATGAGGAGCAGAATCAGGCCACCATGGAAGAGGCTCTGCAGAAGGAGGAGGAATTCAAGGCCATGTTGGAGCAGCTCAAGAAACAGCAGGAAGATGCCCAGGTACCCCCTCTGCAGGATGGAGCACGAAATGATTCCCGAGTCATGTTAAATCAGTGTTGTGACTTCATTCATTCATTTTTTGCAGGCCGCTGCCATGGCAACCTCTGCGGGCACAGTGTCAGAGGATGCAGTAGAGGACGATGGAGGAGGGCGTCTGTCATGCAGTTCCTCTGAGATGTCAAAGCTCAGCTCCAAGAGTGCCAAAGAGCGGCGTAATCGTAAGAAAAAGTGGCGGCAGAAGGAGCAGGAGAAGGAGAAAGGCGACAGTGAGAAGTTTGTTAAGTCAGAGTCGGACGACGGCAGCAAGAGGAGCCGCTTCCGTTTCCCTGATAATCGCCTGGGTCGAAAGTCTTCCATTATGAACCAGGTGAGGAAAACAAGGCTAATGTCTGGGTGCCATTTCTTAGCATTGCTCAGTTTTTTTTGATAAGATTATTATAATGATTATTACGGTATTATTATTAACGGTTTTATGTGCAGATGATTTAGGAGTCACCGGACATTGTCTCTGGCAGTACATGTTGCTTTTGAGTATTTTTATCATTTGGGTAAACTGACCCTTTTTGATGCTCAGTGATAATTATTGGGTCCAACCCTAAAAGAGACCATATAAGACCATAACATTAGAGTCACGTCATTAAAAAAGAGATTGTTGTTGTGTTATCTCTATGAATAGAATCTAAATGTCAGTGAATAATGTGGCTGCAGCAGAGGTTTTTTTGTCTTTTTTTGACTGTCAGGGAAGGAATATAATAATATCAGAGTATTGCTACTGTACAGTGTGGTGTTGCACAAGCTTTTATACACAGGAGCATATATAGTGGCCAGAGATATAGAAACACAAGTCCAGGTCCTGAATTATTGACAGTGATTACATGAATGTTTTAAAGGGAGCAATTCTGCAGCTTTGTTTGGGCCTTAATCGGCTCTTATGATGTGTTTTAAGATCCTTGTTAAGAGTATCTGTTTATGTGAGTATATAAGAAGAAGAATACTGCCAGATACTTACATATTTACTTAAATATAATAAGTGTAGGATTTGGCTGAGACCTGCATGCATTTACAGCATTACTTAAATATAATAAGTGTAAGATAACGCACACTGGCTTGAGACAATTAAAAAACACACAATTGTTTTTTTGCTTTACATTCACCATCTGCACGGGCTGAGGATTGTTGTCAAAAAATGTGATTTCATGAGCTAGCATACCGTGTTCAACTACATAGCTGCTAATAATATTCGGATCAATACTACTGTAGCAGCTGCCCAGATTGATGTTTGTCATGACTCACGTTCAGCTGCCTGTATCTCTGTCCTGTGTGTGTGTGACCTTGACAGTGTACGATATCACTGACCTAATTATGTATTTCCCTCTTATTTATTAAGTCACATGAGAAGCGTCCTGGTTGCATTAAATTTACCACACCCCACAGATGTTGCCTTTCATCATGACCTCCAGAACTGATGACAAAAAGCATAAAAATTATTATGGTGCAATCAGTTGTAATTCAGAAACATCCTACATCAGTCACAGAAATGTCTCCTTTCCATCTCCTCATTGCTCTTCCACCTCCTCCCCTCCTTAGTCCCTCCTTAGTATACCTGGCTCGCCTTTCCTGTCCCGCCACAACAGTAAGAGCAGCATCTTCAGTTTCAAAGGACGCGGCAAGGACGTGGGCTCGGAGAACGAATTTGCCGATGATGAGCACAGCACGGTGGAGGAATGCGAGGAGCGTCGGGGCTCCCTCTTCAGCCCATATCGGCGGAACAGCTACAGCGGCTTCCACGGGAAGAGGAACAGCACGGTGGATTGCAACGGCGTGGTGTCACTCATCGGCCCTGGGCCCGGCGGACGCCTTCTGCCTGAGGTGAAAATAGATAAGGCAGCTACTGACGACAGTGTAAGGAAGTCAATGAGTAGACCTATCTAGGCATGGCCCCCACTACTCGTCCGTTCCTTTTCTTTCTTGCTCTCTATCCTCTACTCTGTCATCTTTGCAAGTCCGTATGTATCTCTTGGCTAAGCGCTCGCGCCTCCCCTCCCCCAGCCCCTGCAGTGTATGCTGCCCTCCGACAGTAGGCAAAGGATGGAGAAAAAAGTTTATTTCACAGTAAATATACAATAGCCAACCCTGCATCTGATAGGTTAGTGAAACTGGGTCTATCAGTGACTTCCAGGCAATTTTGTTGTTTGATTTGAACGATGAATGTCAATGTTTTGAATGTTCATTTCAAATTATATATTTACATGCACCATACTCACACTTTCACACAGGCACCAATCAGACAAGATTCTATTATTCTCCTACATCCCCATTGGCTCATAACATTTTGGCACATACTGTATATCAAAGCCTGATTAATATTTAATACACAACTTCATTTGTGGAATGTCATCAAGTTCCTGTTGAACACACCCTGTTAACAAACAGCAAATAATGACGAGTTAACATGCTCCAGTGTGTTGATGTGTTCCTCCTCCAGGCATCCAGGTCCTCTGCTAGCCTGTGTGGGTAGATCTACAGTAGGAGGCGGGGGAAACAGAGGGGACCAGCACTAGAGAGCCCCAGACATTTTTATCTGCTTCCCTAATACACTGTTAATATCCCCAAGCAGATACACAAGTAACACACACCATCCTATCAGGCCTTAATAATATAATTTAAGAATAAATGGAGGGCTGCTGTCCTTGTCTGTCTTTACCTTTCTCTGTTTTCCAAACTCTCCCTGGTCAACATTAGTGAATTAGTTGTGTCTCATTCTAGTTAGCATGGTAGACTTAAACCCTAAATTAAAAACAAGCATGATATAGACAAGTAGAACAGTGGCTATGGTGTCTGTAATTTCGTCTCCTTCTCTTTGACTTGGAGCATGCCCATGCATGACAACTGGATGGATCTGAACTACCTGCCTCCATACGATCTCTTTACAATGCTCTTGACTTGATGGTTGCAATATAAGTTTTATGGTTTCAAAGTAGGAAGATACAATAGCAGTGATTTGCAAGTAACATTAAAATGGCCAAATTTTGGGAGACATTTTGTAAAATAACCTAATGATTATATTGCAATGGCAGCAAAGCCTCCATTATTGCATGACAGGACTGAAAATGCATTCATGCAGAAGCAGTTCCCCTGCACAATATCTCACAATCCATTTATTATTTAATTGGGATGAGCTAATTACATTCAAACACAATTAGGTCAAGTAGCCCTAGACCACTGCTCCCACTTTGGCTGAGACCTGCATGCATTTACAGCATACACACATCCTCCTTGAAACCAGCATTGAGATAGAAAAGAAACATGAAACATGCCCCCGACCAAAAATCTGATCTTCAACTACTTTTTCCTGCCAATGCTGTTGTGCACTTCCCTCTGCCGGCCACCGGTGGTGATGTGGGATGGTGTTCATGTCCTCTCCATGGGTGCTTGATTCTTCCTCTCCTCCTGACAGCCGACTACTGAGGTTGAGGTGAAGAAGAAGCTGTCGGGCTCCCTGATGGTGTCTGTGGACCAGCTCAATACCTCCTTTGGGCGGAAAGAGCGGGCCAACAGTGTCATGAGCGTCATTACCAACACACTAGTGGAGGGTACTGCCACTTTAACCCAGCTATTTAACCTGCTATCTCATTATTCTTTAACTAGGGCTGCTCTCATTGGTTGATTAGTTTGACATGAATTTCCTGCTTATCTGCTTTGCATATCCAAAAGTACCAGATACATACAATGCATACAATTTTGTCTATCATTTGATACCATTGCATGCGGTATGCTCAAGCACGCAAGTATGTTTGGTTTTGATGTGTGATCCGCGCTATGTCTTCAGAACTCGAGGAGTCTCAGCGCAAGTGTCCGCCATGCTGGTATAAGTTTTCTAACACATTCCTGATCTGGGAGTGCTCCCCCGCGTGGATTAAGATCAAGGAGATTGTGAACCTGATAGTCATGGACCCCTTCGTGGACTTAGCTATCACCATCTGTATCGTCCTCAACACCCTCTTCATGGCCATGGAGCACTACCCCATGACCACCGACTTTGAAGACATGCTGTCTGTAGGCAATCTGGTGAGTGACAATCTTTTTGTTTCATTTATTTTCATCTGTTTCACCGGTTAAGAATCTCCTCTGCTTCTTCCTTGCAACTCACAGGGAGGTGTTATTTTTGGGACCGTAATTGGCAGCTCTTTCATTGCTGATTCAGTGTTGAAAGGAAAAAAAATGTCTAACCCCCCTGCTGCTTCTGTGTATCCATGCAATTCTCATTTCTTCGCACACACGCACATACATTTTCCCATTCTTCTTCTTCTTCTTCTTCTTCTTCATCTATTTCTCTCCTCTGGTTGAGTAGAGCTGCTGTTTGCTTCCTGGGTCCAGCCTGCCTCTCTGCTGGTTGGCTGACTGGAGGGAGGCCTACATTAATATTTCACGGAGCCTGATCGATGAGCTCCTCTAAAATGGTGTCTGAGTCATGGCTCAGATAACTCAATCCAGCCACTTTCACGAGTGGCATGTTTAGGGAAACTGAGCTTGTTTTTTTTCTTTTCAGTATCATATGTTGTGTCAGCGTCCCGATGTGTCACAAATGACACATTTACATTTACTCATTTGGCAGACGCTTTTATCCAAATCGACTTACATATGAGAAACAACATACAATCATCAACAGAGCAACAACTACAGCACGAGATCTACAACCGACAATACATATTAACAAAAGCAGCATAAATACTAGTAAGCGCTAATGGCACACATCGCATCAATGGGGTAAATACCTAGGGAAAGAAGTAAGAGTTAAGTGCAATCAATACAAGACAATTGTAGGGGATAGAAAAAGAAGAGTACAGGAAGTGCATGTTAGATGTTAGGAGTTAGAGGTGTTATAAGAGGAAGTGTTCTCAGAAGAGATGAGTTTTCAAGAGCTTCTTGAAGTTAGAGAGGGACGCCCCTGCTCTGATGGCGTGTGGTAGCTCGTTCCACCATCGTGGTGTCACATATGCCAACAGCCGGGACTGGGATTGCTTTGTGTGAAGTGATGGCAGAGCTGACCAGGGCAGGAATAGAATGGTTGATTTTGAGAGATTCAGCAGACAAGTTTATGGGTGGAGGAGGTGGAAGAGGATTTAGTAGCGTTTTAAAAGTGGAAAATAATTTCCTTGAGTCAGTGACACGGCTAACTCTGTCATTATAAAACGCAGTTTTGGCAGCACTGATGCTTGTTGAGAAGGAGGACAGGAGCAGTTGGTAGCCCTTAAGGTGGGCAGGGTCTTTGGTTTTTCGCCATTTTCTTTCAGCGGCTCTGAGATCACTATGGAGCCCACGGATGGTATCAGTTAGCCATGGGTGGGACTGGTTTGGGCGGGCAGGCTTGGTGGATAGAGGACACAGGCTATACAGGCACGAGCTCAGTGTAGAGCAAAGAGATTGTGCGGCATCATTGACCTTGAGTGAGGAAAGTGTGTAGAGGGAAGGTAGAGCGGATGCTACCACTGAGGCAAAGTGAGTGAGGTTACGGAGGTTGTGGTGATGTGAGACAAATGGTGCTGGAACAATGGGCTGTTCCTGTAGGCATACTGTGAACCGAATGAAAAAGTGGTCAGATATGCGTAGAGGAATGACAGTTAGGCACTCGGTGGGACAGTTTCGGACAAGAACGAGGTCAGGCACCTTGCCAGCTTTGTGGGTCGGGGGCTGAGAACCCGAGTTAGATCAAAGGTCTGAATCAGAGACAGGAAGTCTGTTGAGTTTGATTTGTCCAAGCGAATGTTCATGTCACCGAGGACAAGTAATGGACAGTCATGATCTGGGATTTCAAGAGTAATTGTTGGACAGCGCAGCGGGGGTAGCGGTGTTTTCTGGTTTGATCCAGGTCTCAGTGAGCGCCAGTAGCCCAAGAGATAATGCGTTAGCATAAGTAGTGATAAAGTCAGCTTTGTTGACTGCAGACTGGCAGTTCCATGACCCAACAGAGAAGTAAACAGATGTGGGCGGTGTCTGTTTTAAAGGCTTGAGGAGTGCCTTATTTCTGTGCCTAGTGGTACGATACCTCTTATGTGCACTGGAGACAAGAGGAATAGTATGGTAGCACATGGTCTGAGTGTAGTTGTAACCGGTAGCTTTAGGTGAGTAGGTGTGCTTAAGAAAAGTAAAAAAGCTACTCTTGTAGGTGGCCTTGCTCGGTGGACTCGCATAGGAAGACTCGCTGCTCTTTACCCAAGTAGGTCTCCACACAAGGAGCTGACGCTGACGCTTCAGTAATAGGTTTCAGTAAAGTAGTGTGAGTCTAATTGCATACAGGTGTTGTGCATTCAGACTGATTACACCCAGCTGAGATTGCCCTCCGGATTACCGGATTATTGGATTTCAGTCGGTGGGACACAGTTGTTTGAGCTCGCTCAGTCGGCCTTCAGATTCTAGTAGAATGCTCAGGCAAAAGTCTAATAAAGATGAACCACTCACTGTATATGTGTGTGTGTGTGTGTGTTGGCACACATAAATGTGGAAAGGCATTAATTTACAATTGAAACATCATATTTACCACTTCTGCTACAGAATAATTTACCGGAAAAGGCCAGAAAATGGGTGGTACAGGTTAAACTTTTTAGGCCACCTTGATGCAATATGAGTCACCGTCTTACAAACAGAGACACGCGCGCGCGCACACACACACACACACACACACGTTCCATTGGTTTCTGTGATTGAGGATAACCCTCCATTATTTATTAGAACAGAAGCGCCATTTAATCTTTGCTGAATACAGAACAGCTGACACAAACACACACACGTACACACACAGCCTTGTGTCAATATCTTTGTGGGGACCTGTCATTGACATAATGCATTCCCTTGCCCTATACCCTAACCTTAACCATCACAACTACATGCCTAACCTTAACCCTTACCCTACCCTTACCGTAATCTAATGCTAACCTGAACCCTAAAACCAAATCTTGACCCTCAAAAAGCTCTTTAAACTTGTGGGTCCAGCATTTTAATCCCTATAAATCTGTAGATACATTTTGTCACAATATAACAGGTTATAGAGTGAAATTGAGTTTGTAACTCTCTTCTGCTACGTAGCAGAAAATATACATTAAAATAGAAGCAATTATAAAAATGGGAAACAGAAATAAACTATATTCAATGGAGCAGTGCTGGGGATGAATTTGAGTTTAAAAGTCTGATAGCTTGGGGGAAAAAGCTGCTCTGCAGTCTGGTGGTGCGATTGCAGAAACTTCTATATCTCTTTCCAATATACTAATATATATATAATATAGCAAAACAAGCCCACACACACATTAACTAGATATGCTGCCTCTTTAAATTATTGGATGTATCCTTCTAGTAATTCATTAATTTGCAGTTACCATCGGGGTTATTTGTAATGTGATTTTTCTTAAACATCTGTGATGCACAACTCATATGATGGGTCAGATCAAATATCACACATTTCACCACCCATCATGCTTCACATTCTCATGTGTTCTGTGAAACATGGTGTTGAGCCAAATCCATATTTTCAAGTGTGTTCTCTTTCTTACCTGCCAGGTGTTCACGGGGATCTTTGCCGGGGAGATGCTTTTCAAGCTGGTGGCTATGGATCCGTACTACTACTTCCAGGAGGCCTGGAACTGTTTCGATGGTTTCATTGTGACGCTGAGTTTAGTGGAGCTGGCTCTGGCTGACGTTGAGGGCCTCTCAGTCCTGCGGTCGTTCCGATTGGTAAATACTCATTTTAGATCCTTGCTAATGAAAACCAAATCGAGATAGCATGTGTAGTTAGCATGTTAGCATCTGGAATACGCTTTGATGTTTATGCTGTTTTTACTTCACTGAAGTGAAGCAGCAAGTTAGTAAAGCTAAAATGCTGTGACTAAACCATATCCCTCCCATTCTTTCCACCCAACCCACTTCAGCTGAGAGTGTTTAAGCTAGCCAAGTCATGGCCCACCCTCAACATGCTGATCAAGATCATTGGTAACTCGGTGGGAGCCTTGGGGAACCTGACTCTGGTGCTGGCCATCATCGTCTTCATCTTTGCTGTGGTGGGCATGCAGCTGTTTGGCAAGAGCTACAAAGACTGTGTGTGTAAAATCGCTGCTGACTGTGAGCTGCCCCGCTGGCACATGAATGATTTCTTCCACTCCTTCCTGATCGTCTTCCGGGTGCTGTGCGGTGAGTGGATCGAGACCATGTGGGACTGCATGGAGGTGGCAGGCCAGGGCATGTGCCTCATCGTCTTCATGATGGTCATGGTCATCGGTAATCTCGTGGTGAGTGTCCAGACTGGTGGGGTGGACGGGGTTTTTCAGAGAAAGCCATCTTTAAAGAATTATAATGTGGTCAGAGATTGAACAATCAGGACTCAACATCCAGTAACTGATTTTCTATTCTGTGTCCAAAGGTGTTGAACCTGTTCCTTGCCTTGCTGCTGAGCTCATTCAGCGCTGACAACTTGGCTGCGACGGATGACGACGGTGAGCCCAATAACCTGCAGATCTCCGTCATGCGCATCAAGATAGGCATTGCGTGGATAAAAGCGAAGGTGGCGATACTGGTGGCCAGTCTGCTGAAGAAACCACCGATGGAGGACGAGCAGAAGCCTTTGGATGACATGTATGACAAGAAGCTGAACTGCATTGCTAACCACACCGGGGTGGACATCAACCGTGACCTGGACTATGCCAAGAACGGGAACGGCACCACCAGCGGTATTGGCAGCAGCGTGGGCAAGTATATGATTGATGAGGACCACATGTCGTTCATCCACAACCCGAACCTGACTGTCTGCGTGCCCATAGCTGTGGGAGAGTCTGACTTTGAGAACCTCAACACAGAGGACTTCAGCAGCGAGTCGGACAATGAGAACAGCAAAGAGGTCAGTGAGAGGAGTGCATTATCCATTTGTTGTAATTCATCAATAAACTGGTATTCAGGCTGGAAATGACAAAACAATGACTGGAATCTGCAGCACACATAACAATAAAACTACATTTTTAAAGCAAATTATTAAAATTTTAAACTTTTAGAATATCAACATGTAAATATTGGGAAGCTCCATGTTTTGTTGTTTTTGTTGTTTATAGTCCTCAGCTACTCTACACCGTGCCATTTCCTCTCTCAGGACATTAAAACCATGGCTGTTTAGACACTAATATAACTCCATTACTCAGCAGGGTTATCTAGAGTGGCTGGAGCAGGCAGGCAATGGGGGATGAAATGGATATCTACTGACGTATGTCTTTTGACGAAATGTATTTATAAGACTTTCAGAGCAGATGCCATTTTATATTCCACATCAGTGTTCATGTGGGTGATATATGATTGTTATGGTGTCCATCTCAATACGGAAAGAAACCTCTGTGATCAAATAGCCTAGTACTTAGTTTAGTTAGTTAGTTTTTTTTCCTTTTAGAGATTGAGCCAAAGCAATTTGGAAATAACGTGAAATGTACATTTCCCGACAGGTTCCAGAAGGCTTCATCAGCTTTCCTCATCATAAGCAATTCCTTAATATAATTCCGTTTCCTTGCATGTTTATTTGTACGTTTGTGCTCATACGTCTGCATCTCTGCAGCTGGATGACACCAGCTCATCAGAGGGCAGCACCATCGACATCAAGCCAGATGTGGAGGAGGTGGTGGTGGTGGAGGCGGTTGAGGAATACATGGAACCAGAGGCGTGTTGGACAGATGGTGAGACCACTTCTCCCACTGCACCCATTTCCTCTACTCCACAGCACAGAGACTCCCCTGGGCTGAGTGGAAATGAAAGGGCAGTGGGGGGAAGGACAATTCCATTATGAAGGATCACTCACCCATGGAGACTCTTAATCTATTTATCAGTCTATCTGACAGTCTGTCTGTCTATCTGTCTATTATGCTTACATAATTGCAGATAACTTTAGAGATCATTATGTATTTGTCAAACCTAAAAAAATTATTCAGTAATAGAAATCATGAATATAGGTAGTTATCAGACAAACATGTGGGTTTTTATCTGTGTACAGTTAGATGGTACAGTATGAGCAGTGAAATTAACATAGCTCAGTTGAATTCCTGTTTGTCAATGGGATCTAGTGGCAGCCCGTCTCAAAAGTAGGAAAATTCCCTTCTTCTTCATCTTCTAATGACAGATGACTGCTCAAACTGAATTCTAATAGGTGTGTAAAATCTTTGTCAAGACAAGAAAACAAAAAATTGAGGCAAATAATAAAAAATATTTAACACTTAGCATTGGAGAAGTTGTGGCTTAGAAGTGTTGCTACTTGATCCCAGAAACATACATGATTTGAACTAAGCTATTGTTACCTTATTCATTCCACTATCAAAACAACATTCATGCAGAGGTATAAAAAGGGCTTCCAATCTGGATAAGCCGAGCAGAACACTGGACTGTAACGTGCCATTAAAACTTATTTAACTATATTTAATGTCGTCTCTCCTCCTGTGTGTCCTCAGCTTGTGTGGCCAAGTATAAGTGCTGTTATCTTGACATCACTGTGGGTTGGGGGAAGAAATGGTGGTGGTTGAGAAAAACCTGCTACCTGATTGTGGAGCACAACTGGTTTGAGACCCTCATCATCTTCATGATTCTCCTCAGTAGTGGCGCCCTGGTAAGGAGGCCCGTGGTGGCATGTTGCATCCTCTGCAAACACAGAACAACAGACTCTGCAGTTACATGAAAATTTTAAAACACAACAAGTATAAATAAAAAATTTAATTTAATTTATATGCCAAATCATTACAGAGGTTGTCTCATTGCACATTGTATATTAACCTCTAAATGAAACACGTTAACTGAAAATCCAATCAAGATGATGATTAAATAAAGATGACTCATTAAACATAAAGGTACTTCACAGGGACCAGTGTATGTTTACAGTATGTCAGTGAGGAGGTAAAACAAGTCGATCAATGGCGCAGTCAGTTTGGTTGCACAGTTTCAGAGCTGCTGGGCTGGGGGAGGGGCCAGGCACGCCTGTGATTAATGGACTGTGCCATTTATCAAACAGGGGATCTATTCCTGGGGATGGAGTGGGGCCTCATTCTCAAGCATGTCAACTGTTACTAAAATAAGAGGAAAGACTGCTGCGAATCTACATGAGCCATGGAGTAATTTGTAATATTTCACACAGAACAGATATTTTTTTAAATCTAGTAAATCACTGTTAGTGATCAGCAATGAGCGGGCTGTAGTGGTGTATACAATTCCATTAGTGGAATCATAAATCATGAGGTGTAATATTTTCCTTCTTCTTGGCTGATGTATGTTTCCTGTTTCTCCACAGGCCTTTGAGGATGTGTACATCGAGCAGAGGAAGACCATTCGGATCATTTTGGAGTATGCCGACAGGGTTTTCACCTACATCTTCATCCTGGAGATGTTGCTGAAGTGGGTCGCCTATGGTTTTGTGAAGTATTTCACCAATGCCTGGTGTTGGCTGGACTTCTTCATTGTGGATGTAAGTCCACCTCTTGTTTCATCTATCGTGTCTATGTAGACCAGAGCAGAAGAGCAGTTACTTGGTCCTCAACCACACCCTGGTCCAACAGCAACACACCAGCATAAAGATAGATACAGTCTATTAAACAGCATAGCTAATGCTAATTTCTGCTGTTGTTACCGTACCTGTAAATAATACAATAATTAGTCTTTTGCCTCATTAGATCATTATGAACCACATCAAATGCACTACATATATTACTTACATACAGGATATGAAGTTTTTATAATTCTATTTATGTGTTACCCCTATTGTTGTCTGTTGGGTGTGGTTAGGTTTGAAAAGTCAGGCTATTAATAAAATATCCGCTTCATGGTATGTATTAGGTGAGAGGGCATGTTGTTTACAGTGAAGACACCTCTGTATTTAATTTACTCATGCAACAAGGGCAGTGTTTTACAAGACTGCATCGCAGTCTGTCCATTTCAAGGCCACACATGCCAGTCACTTTTTACAAATCTATCAAGCAACCATCCCTATTTTTACCTGGTTTATCACTCTGAGATGCTTGAATATGTACAACAATTATATGCTTGTGAATTGAAACACTACACTACGCAACTATTTAAGCATGGATAAATTAGAATCAGTCAATACAAAAAAAAACATATTCAACTCATACTCAGAGCAATGGGACGTGTCAAAGATGTGTCTCTGTAAAGCTGTCTTTGCCTGTGTCTCTGACCTGTAAGATGTTTGATATGTGCCTTTGTCCTCTCTCTCTCTCTGTGTACTTTTCTGCTCCTTGTGTCAGTCAAGATTGAAAGACCAGAACGGGGAATGTTCTTACGTCTATTCTTTGGTAGTTACAGATAATGACAAAGATAACGTCTTATTTTGTTTGTTTTTAAGACGACTTAACCTTAGATTGTGATGACATGAATTTCCGATGGGTTGGGAGAAGTGAGAGGGATCATTTTAATGGCTAGAAGCTTAAAGCTTTTGAATTTTACATAAATGTTGGATCAAAGAGTAATCTGAGTGGCAGAATTGGATAGACTAAGAAATTCCTTGACTTCTGACTTTCTCCTTGAACTAACCACCTCTCCGCAGTGTCCAACACCTCAGCCAATACCTGTGAATGGACTCCTATCAATGGCCAGAGGTTGCCATGTTGGTTCATTATAAGCTCCTGTATCCCAGACCCCTGCAGCAAACATACATTTATTACATACCATAGATAATGCAACTTTTTAATCGAACATTCTACATTTATGCATTTATACATTTTAGAAGTTGTACGGCTTAAAACTACACAGAAGTATACAAAGACTTCCTAAGCATTCAGTACACAGCTATCTTTAAACCCTACATTCAGGGTTGACACATACAGCACACACAGAGCTTGTAGCAATTATGACGATGCCACACTGTACTGATTCTGGATATTGCCATTGTAGACTCCCTTCCCTGTAGGTGTGTTGTCCAGCCCAACACTTGGGACTGTGCAGGCTGCCACGTTTCCCAAGTTGTGAACATGTTACAAAGAGTGACATCCCTTCTCCCGCCCTTTCCCCGTCCTCCTTTTATTCCCTCTTGAAAGTGTAACCTCAGGAATGTGGTGATATTGTGCTGAGATGTAATGATGGTGGGTGACAGGCGGCCGGCGGTAAGTTTGGTCTTCACTAGCGCTCCCCCTGTTCACAAAAAAAAGACTTGTGCTTGATGAGTCTGGGTTGTGTTGTGGCCTGACTGTGCCTCTGCTGTCCTGTGTTGTGGGGTGAAACCATTGCCATGGACTCAGAAAGGGGGGGGCACCATCATTAGACCGGCCTGTATTTTTCTCTGAGAGTGGATGTGCCTGACTCTTTGTGTGAGTGTGTTCCTCCTCATTTCCCTTGTGTTGCTGTATCTTTCTGTTACCCATTTGATTTGTGTTTTTCAGATTTTCATTACAAGAATGCGTTTGTGTTATATTATGGATTGGCTAAAAATGGCTCTGGGCATAAGATATGTTAAATAGTTAAGTGTTTTGTTAAATCAGTTAAGAAATACACTTTGCAGCATTATTAATGGAGAACCCAGTCAGATATTTGCAATAAGTGAAGTAGTATATTTTTAACATTTTGCTTACATTGTAGGAATAAGAATAGTTATTTATGTTATAGTAGTTGTGTAAATAGCTAATGCAGGAAATTCTTGATACTGAGGTGTGTGAGTGTGAGGATGATAGGTGTCATACTCCATTCATCTTTCTTTTTCACTCAGATTACTATCATTGTTTTGTTGTGTTTTTTTCCCCCTTTGTTTTTAGTTTGTTTTATTTCTGTTTGGTTTGTGCTGTCGTCATCATGGGATCACAGCCCCAGATGTCATTGGCCTTGCCTTGCAGAGCTCTGTGAGAAGGACGTTGAGGCGCTGAGGTCACTACCACACAGCTGGCCCAGCAGGGGGCCAGAGGCCAGGCACCCCAAAGGGGGGCTCTTCAAGGGGTCAGGCTGAAGGTGACAATTACCCCAAACACCGTAGTGTAGATCAAGGCAAAATCTTTATTTTACTGTCTCCCCACCAGAACAGCAGCTAACTTATTCAAGAGATATGGTTATTGATTTAAATAGGGGCTTTGTGCCAAAGTGTAAGTACAGAGTCTAAATAAAGGCCCTGTCCAGTACATCCTGGATCCGATGTTGGACATGGTCCAACACTCATATATACAGTAGGAAATCTCAGTCCATGCTTATCTGCTGTTCTTTCCATAGTTTTGATGCATACCACCCTTAAATGGTTGAAAGGTTGGTCTTTTGTAATCTATGTTGATGATGTCATCAGTCAAAATGAAGATTTTGCCTGTTACAAACCTCCCTCCGTGACTTTGGTAAGCTTTGGATGTTGTGTACTTCTTGCGGTGAGTTTGACCGGTTGGTGTCGGTGGCTGGTTGGAGGTGCTTTCACATGTGTTCACTGTTGATATTTTTCCTTGTTTGTAAGGAACTGGTCCTCCCCCTTGTTGCAGTCCTCCCAGCATCCAGACCGTGAAAATTGCAAAAAATAAAAAGACTTCATACAATTCCTGTGACCATGTACTAATTCTTGAACAAACAATTTTCTCTCAATTTGACTGAATTTATAAGACTTTGAGCCTAGATTTCAATACAGACGCCCACTCCTGCATTTTACATCTAGAATAATCTGCATTCAGCCAAAGAATCCTTCTTTACAAAGCGTCCCTGTGCAGCAGACAGCCTGTAATGGCTGCCCTAGCACACTTGAGGTGACTTCATCATGGCTAAGTCATTCCTGCACTTCTCACCAGCCCTCAAAGAACATTAGTGCAGCTTATTGACCACATTCCCCATTGTCCATTTCCTCCCTTGTTAACAATGCAATACTGAATATGTGTTAAGCTTAGATGGCCCAAAGCCATAGGGGATTCACAATAACCAAACCATAACTCAAGCCACTTTGTCTACATTTACATCACGGCGATAAGAGTTCTGTACATTTACGATATTGCTGTGAATGACTGTATATACAGTTTTTGTGAAATAATGACATAATTTAAGATTTCTTTGGCTGCTTTGCCTTGGTGGCTGCTGTTGGATGTGAGAGGGGCTGCACCGGTTTCTTTGAGGTTGTGTGCTGTTATTGTTAACCGTTTGTTAACTGTGTGTAACTCGACTATACTCTGTGTACTTTTGTCCTTTCAGTGCCATCCAGTGCTAATAACTATATCCAGTCTGCCCCTTAACCTCCATCCCTGTTTCTTGTGCGTGGTTCATGTGACTGTGGCTCTCCTATTTGACTCTAATTGCTGTGTGACATTTGATTTGATGTCTGAGAAAGAAAATGATAAAAATGACACACTTGTACATGTTTACTTGTATTCTTTCTCTTAGGTTCCGTTAGTTTGTCTGTCTTAAATTATATGGGATTTTATGCCTCAGCCCAAGAGCGACAAGGAGAGACAATGTTAGAGGGGCAAGGGTAAGGCTCTCAAGTCTGTTGGGTTTTTATCAGCTTCTACAGGGTAACCTCTCTCCTTCCCTCCCTCCCCAACTCCTCTTCCTCTGCTCTGCCCAGTCCCTTCGCTTGTATCTTTACTAAATCATGTAGCACTCTTTTCTGCCTAATTTACACGCTATATGAGTCTTATGTCTCTATCTCCTCTCTTTCTCTCTCAACCACAAATTTCTTTGCAGGTACAAAGGACTTTTCACATCTCCTCAACTGCCCCAAAATAACTGACAAACAATCCCTATGGCCTACTGCTACTAAAAATACTACGCACATAAAACCTATACTAAACATTGACCTTCTCTCTCAGTGTATATACATGTATAAATGCAATATTATACATGCATATACATGCATAGATTTATGTGTGTATGTTAAGCAACTCTCCACCTATGCCAGGGTCGTCTCTCTTCCCTAGTGAATATTCTCACTTCTAACAGTTTGGAACCTCTTTTGCTTCTCTGTTTTTGTGTAGGTGTCTATAGTCAGCCTTGTAGCTAATGCGCTGGGCTACTCCGATCTAGGGCCCATTAAATCACTCAGGACACTAAGGGCCTTGAGACCCCTCAGAGCCTTGTCACGTTTTGAAGGGATGAGGGTAAGATCCAAAGCTAAGCAGCTGATCCTTCCGCATGCCCATTCAACAGTTTAAAGCATGCTAGAACTGATCTAAAAACAAACTAAGAGGACAAAAAAAGAACTCCAAAACATTGGGGGATTGTTTTTAAAACCAGGAAATGAAAGCCAAGAAGTCACCTTTCCATGCGCAATCCTGTACCATGCCTTTGTTAGAGCGAAAGAACAAACAAATAAGTCATGATGCAGCTGGGAGACTGAGTAAAGTAACAGTAACGTTGTATTGCCAGCAGAACAACATGCATTTGAATTGAATTCCTTAAACAAACAAACAAAAAAATCTACATACAAATTGATTTGTTTTGTAATAAAAATGATCCAAAGAGCAACAGAAATGCTTTTTCACAAAGCTGCCTCATCACATAAGTGATAAACAAGAAATTCTGATTTCTTTGTATCTTCTTGATTGGCCAAAGTGAATGTGAAATTGATCAAAGCTAACCAAACTTACACACCATCTCATAGAGCATTCAAATGAACAATTAGCTCTTCATTTGGCCTGATTCTCAACCACTGCTTTTAATTGAGAACCCCCCTCCCCTCCCATACCACCCCACCCCACCCCCACCCCACCCCCCAGCTCACACCATCCCTCAATGCATCTGGCATCGAGAACAACCAGCAGGAACCAGGGAGCTGCAGGACACCAAAACCTCTGCACAGCCAGTCACACCAAAACTCTGCATGCAGGGCGGCTGCCAAACAACCATTCAGAGGAATCTGTCCTATTTGAATTCAAGCAGTTCAGTGGTTTACAGAGCAGAAATCACTTGCCACGACAGTACCTCTGGTTGTTTCAGCCATCTCTTCCTAAAAACACACAGATCTGATTGGTCATCTCTGTGACTGGTGTTAGCGATAGGTTGCACCTGGTTGTTGTCACCCGTAGTCCCTTCTGTCCCTTTCTCTTTCCTTCTTTATAAATCTCTTGATCTCACTCTCTTTTACTACTCAAAACTCTTGGTCTGGTTGCCTTGTCTTCTACTTTGAGCTTATCCTCTTCACCTCAGCCCCTCCCCACCTCCTCCTCAGCCCCCACATGTGCAGCACTTTGCAGCACACACCCCACCCTCCCCCCCTCCTCCTCACCCCCCTTATCCCTCCACTCCTCACTTCACCTCGACCCGGTTCGGTTGGGCCAGACTGCTGGAGGGTCACCACACTCTCTCCTGCTTGTCCAGGATCTTTCTGCATCAGGGACTCAGACAGAAACCACACACTCACAGTGTTGTGGCTTTGGGAGGAAAATATTTGTTAAGCTTCTGCCAGTGTCACTTTGGGTCGCACCATCTGATCTGCTAACAGTCCATTCTGGTGGCAGGATATTAGAGTAAATGTTTCTAACCACTGTCCATATTAAATACTTAAAATCTATTTTGAATACCTTATGTTGGGAATGCAGGCAGAAGCTTAGCAAATATGCTAGGCTGCCATTTCACAAAAGGCATTACTGCTGTCATGTCATGGCAACACATACTGTAGTGCATACAGCAGGCCCCGGCTTCCTGTTGCCTTCCACTCCCACAGGAAGTGAAACTGGGAGGCAACAACGGGCCCAGATAAACTTTGACTTTGAGTTCTGGATCTGGGTGGGTGGTGGCCCATAGGTTGACTTTCACTACAGCGTACGGACAACACTCTCAACCCTAGACAGACAATGTGTCGCCCCTCTTTAGCATGTCCCAAAAATGACAGACCAGCAGGGGAAGAAGGCCTGTGCAATTTTTTAGTGAGTGGATTGATTACTGTGAAGTCTCATTCATACTAGACATCCAGCGACTAAAATGTGATGCCATTGCACATGAGCAGACATCAGTGCTTCTGGGCCCTGGATACGCTATATGGATGTTGACATGAATATTTCACTGTAAATATATATGTTTAATTGCTAATTATGGGATGGGAAATAGGTCTGTCAATAAGTTTATGTCATTTTTGGGGTTGGAAATCATGGCACATTTGCTTTAAGATATTGTATTAATGCCAATACCAATGCCCCTATGAATGACCTCATTCACTGGGTGTATGTGGTCAGAGAGGCGAGGGTGGCCCAGTAATGCAATGGGAAACAAACAGAGGAATTTGATCCTGCTGTATCAATTTTTACTATATGTCTATGTTCATCAAATAAGTTACCATTTTGTATGAATTGAAAACTGAAAATTTGAGGTCAAAGCAATAAATAAATGAATAGGGAAGTAAATGAATGGAGAGATGACACCATATGAAAGAGATTCTGGAGAGTTAGAATGATGAGAACGTTTATATCCCCGTGGGTCGAGTGTCACAGCACGATGCATCGCAGAGGCCAATGCGAGCCGTGCAGCTTCAATTGGACACATTGCACTGCTTAACATGCAATGATTATGGGCTGCTTTGACTATGTACTTTGCTCTCTCTTTCTCTTAATGCTGCTTTATAATCTCGGTCCTACTTTTTTGAGCAATGCATTGTACAGGAGTGACAACATCTCTAGCCATCCTTACCCCGGTTTCAGTAAATTCCCTTTCTATTCACCCTTTTTCCTGACGAACTTGCTGAAGTTTAATTTACCCAAAAGATGTTGAAATGACAATGATTTTGTAGTTTTATCTTTTGCCAGCTATTAAAGGTATTAGTCATCATGGGGTCTTGGGACATAATCTCTGAACCCCAATCACTTTAATCACCTGTCTTCACTATGAGCAGGTCAACACATATTCCAGACCAATGTAGTTTCTCAGCTCATATTTTGCTGTGTACATATTTGTCAGGCACCCATTCATACCATGTAAATATCAGAAAGGCTCGTCAGACGCACAAGCAAGCAAAGCTTCAACCATTATCTCTTTTTCTGCTATCTCTCTATCCACACATTTCCCTATGTATTTATTTATTGATTTGAGGAGTTCCTGAGATTGCACAATGCCATGTAACACGCATGTACTATAACTGCCGATGCACATTATGCATTTTTGAAAGCCATTTTCCCTCTTTCTGAGAATGCTTTCCACACAGCATGGCCTAATTCTTTTTTTTTAAACACTGAATATTTGAAAGCGGTTGAATTGTATCTCAGATTGAGCAAAGAGCCATTCTCTCAGCAAGTGCAATGGCAACACTGTGGGGGAAAGACTTTAGACCACTTTTTTTAGGCCTATAATGGTGTTTGAAAAATATCATTCTTAAGCCATTTTCTTTTAGCATTTTACATTTTACACAATATTTTAACAGTCAGCCTGTGAAGGTCGTGCACACGCTGAGAGAATCCTGCTCTAGAACTCCTCCCTGTCTGTCTGTAATGAGGAGGGAATATGGCTCCACAAAACGAGTCTGCCAAAGACATGCATGCTCAGCTGTCTGCCTGAGAGCTGCTGGTCGGCCTGCCTAACACTGGTAGTGAACGGTTCACTATGTGCTGAGCTTATTACTGGCTATGATAAATCTACGGCATATCAGATTGGATTGCTGGACAGGCCTAGAGTTTGGGGTGGTGGTGGGAATTATTATTCTTTCATTGATTTTATCTTACTGCTAATGTGTTTTATTGTTTGACTTAGTAGCATTGAAAAGGGACAGTAAGGTTAAGAATATTGACTGTCTAAGGTTGGGGTGGTAAGAGTGGACACTTCATAGTGGTATGGCAAACACTTTAATTTTTTACTGACGTTATGAGCTTTATAACGTAAACAGTACGCACATCTATTTTGTCCAAATACTATAAATTGTATTTCTATTATTACTTAATTGTTATATTATATTTTGGATCTATACGTGTTTAATAAAAAAAAAATATATATATATGTATATATATGTATATATATATATATGTATATATATATATAAGGTCAACAACAGGAGCATTTAACAGTTTTGTGAGTCTCTGGAGAGATACAGCTTTAAAACAACCACTGGGAAGCAGTGTGTGCACATATGCCTGAGTCTGTGTGTGTCTGAGTTTAATGTGTGTGTGCCTGTAACCATATGAAAAACAACATTAGGATCATCTATGTTGTAAATTGTACAATTGCTACAATAATTTACAGTACATGAACTCACAATTAAAAACTGTCTGCATATTTTCTACAACCCTGTAGTAGTTTAGTACCACACGTCAATGGCATTGATGTCATGTGCAAAATAATATGCGTACTATTCTACCCTGTATAAAACATGAAATAGTAATCTGCGTTTTATGAAAGTGGCTGTAATCAGGAAGTCACAAGATGTCCCCAAATTATTGTGTTTTATATAAAAGGTTTTAAATTAAATTGTAGATTTTACATCATAAAAGTGTGATTCTGATAGATAGTGTGTGTGTGTGTGTGTGTGTGTTTGCTTGAGTATTCTTGCTGCATGCTTCAACAGAACAAAACATCTCATTCAATCAATCAATCAATCAATCAATCAGTGTTGCTCTATTGAGAACAGGACTGAAACAGAGCTCCTTCCCATTAACTCCCCACACATCTGTATCTATATCACAAGGGTGTGTAGTGCTTATTTTCGGCTACATTCACTTATAATAGCATTAAAGTGCTGCTCATAATGCCACCTGTAACAAAGTGTTGAATAGCTTTTTAAGTACTTAGTGTAATGCCATAACAGTATGTAGTGTCTTGGGGGGGGGGGGGGGGGGGGGGCTGAATGAGCTGTGTTAGATTCCTGGTTCTCACTCATATCGTATCCTGTCTTCCCTGGTCTGGTCTAGGTGGTAGTCAACGCCTTGGTGGGTGCCATCCCTTCCATTATGAATGTGTTGCTGGTTTGCCTCATCTTTTGGCTGATTTTCAGTATCATGGGGGTCAACCTGTTTGCGGGCAAGTACTACTACTGTTTCAATGAGACATCTGAGGAATACTTTCCCGTCGACGAGGTCAACAACAAGACCCAGTGTGAGGACCTCATAAGAAGAAACCATACGGAGGTCAGGTGGAAGAATGTCAAAATCAACTTTGACAATGTGGGCGCGGGCTACCTGGCCCTGTTGCAAGTGGTGAGAGTGTCACTCCTCCTCTGCTCTCTGACTCCATTTCTTGTTTCATGCTAACTTGTTTTTCTTTCTCATTTTCCTATGCACTTTTCTTTTTTTTCTTTCTGTGCACCACCTGAGGGTCTGTTGTTGCTTCAAACTCCACTTGCTTTCACAGTAGGCCTACTCTTAGGCTGTCTATTGCTCATATTCATTATCTATATTTGGTGTTTCTCCATGCTCTTTTCTTCTTTTACTTATTTCTTTCCTTGCACAAGCTGTACCACAGGACATGCATCAGTTTTGGTTTGAGTTTGAGTTTCTTTGATTATAATTTAGAATATTCTTGATATTTTACTTGTTCTCTACAAATGTATTTAGTCATGTCTCTCTTTTGAAAGGCCACATTCAAAGGCTGGATGGATATTATGTACGCAGCTGTGGATTCCAGAGAGGTATATCCATTGTTTCATCAATATATAATGTAATGCTCATTTATTTCACTGTATGCCAGACTGTGAATAAGCAGGTCTTAAAGGAAAACTTATTCACGTTCTTGCTAAATAAGCCAGCTTCATATTGATCATACAGAGATGAGAGTGATATTGAGCTTTTCATCAAACTCTTGGCAAGAAAATAAAAAAAAGTAAAAGTAGTGTATTTTCAAATTAATTGTCAAATTATTTCTTTCACTTGTGTTAATAAAACACTACAGCTAACACTGTTCCTCCTCCCTCCAAGGTGGAAGACCAGCCCGACTATGAAGTCAACATCTACATGTACATCTACTTTGTCGTTTTCATCATATTTGGCTCCTTCTTCACCCTCAACCTCTTCATTGGTGTGATCATTGACAACTTCAACCAGCAGAAGAAAAAGATAAGACCCGTTCTGTCTCCTTATCCCCTGTCTTGCTTGAGGAGTTTCCATTTAAAAAGTGTCAGAATATGGTTATAACCAAATCTTTGTTTATCCTTTTACTTTGGAGGTCAGGATATCTTCATGACAGAGGAACAGAAAAAGTACTACAATGCCATGAAAAAACTGGGGTCCAAAAAGCCACAAAAACCCATTCCTCGACCGCAAGTATGTATTTTCTCAGGATTACTCCTTTTGATCAAGTGTTCAGATTATTCAACATATGATGCTTTTGGTTGAAACCTCAGTAAATCTCAACTTTATCCCTCTTTTTTTCCTCTTTCCTTGTAGAACAAAATCCAGGGCATGGTGTTTGACTTTGTGACGCAGCAAGTCTTTGACATTTCCATCATGATACTCATCTGCCTCAACATGGTCACCATGATGGTGGAAACAGATGATCAGTCAGATGAAACAGAGCTCGTCCTCTACTGGGTCAACTTCATTTTTATTGTAGTCTTCACCACAGAGTTCTTGCTGAAGCTCTTTGCCCTTCGCCACTATTACTTCACCAATGGCTGGAATATCTTTGACGTGGTGGTGGTCATCCTGTCCATTGTCGGTGAGTGAGGGAGGTGGAAGACATGGAGGAATGAGGGAGTAACTTGGGATTGTCACCTCCAGAATTTTGTTGTATTCTGATGGTATTCTCTTCTTTTCCCTTTTTTCCTTTCTCTCAGGCATGTTCTTGGCTGACATCATTGAGAAGTACTTTGTGTCACCGACCCTGTTCAGGGTGATCAGGTTGGCTCGTATTGGCCGTATCCTCCGTCTGATCAAAGGAGCTAAGGGCATCCGGACCTTACTCTTTGCTTTGATGATGTCACTGCCAGCCCTGTTCAACATTGGCCTACTGCTCTTCCTGGTCATGTTCATCTTCTCCATCTTCGGCATGTCTAACTTTGGCTACGTAAAACATGGAGCGGGCATTGACGACTTGTACAACTTTGAGACCTTTGGCAATAGCATGATCATTCTGTTCATGATCACAACGTCGGCTGGATGGGATGGCTTGCTGTTGCCGATCCTCAACTACCCACCAGACTGCGATCCCAGTTTGGAAAACCCTGGTACATCAGTGAAGGGCGACTGTGGTAACCCATCAGTGGGAATCTTCTTTTTTGTCATGTATATCATAATTTCTTTCCTGATTGTGGTCAACATGTACATCGCCATCATCCTGGAGAACTTCAGTGTGGCCACAGAGGAAAGCGCTGATCCTCTCAGTGAAGACGACTTTGAGACCTTTTACGAGATCTGGGAGAAGTTTGACCCTACTGCGTCTCAGTTCATCACTTTTGCCAAGCTGTCTGACTTTGCTGACGCACTGGAGCATCCACTTCGTGTGCCGAAGCCCAACACAATAGAACTAATTGCCATGGACATGCCCATGGTGAGTGGCGATCGCATTCACTGCCTGGACATCCTGTTTGCCTTCACAAAGCGAGTGCTGGGTGACAGTGGTGAGTTGGACATGCTGAGGCAGCAGATGGAGGAGCGTTTTGTGGCAGCCAACCCCTCTAAGGTGTCATATGAACCCATCACCACCACACTTCGCCGCAAACAGGAGGATGTCTCCGCCAGAACTATCCAGAATGCCTACCGCACCCACCTCATCAGGCGTGGCATCATCTTCAAGCGCCATACTTTTACTAACAATAAGCTCGAGAACGGCGGGACCAACAATGAGAAGAAGGAGAGCACACCATCCACAGCCTCTCTTCCCTCTTATGACAGCGTGACCAAACCTGACAAGGAGAAGCAGGATGAAAACAAGGAGGAGTGGGCCAGGAAAGAGAAGGACAAAAACCAAAAAGATGAGTGGGAATCCAAGTGTTAGGGTTCAGTGACTCTCGAAATCCAGTAAAACACAGTGAGATGAGACTCTGAGCCCAAACCCAACAAATGTAGAAAAAGTCATTTGCAAGTAAGAAAAAAAACCCAACAAAAATATATAAAAAAATGTTTACAGACTTCAATACTACTGAGGCAATGTGGTTTCTTATGTCGTCAAAGACAGCTGAACCAAACCCAATCAGTTTACCACGGAACTGCAGCATAGTGACCAAGTTCATGAAAATGAGGAACAAATGCAAAATGAAAAACAATGACACCGGTGTGCTGGCCAATGACACACATTTCTTTGGGGACCAAATGCCAAGGCACATAAATCTCTGCTAGATGACTGAAGAATTGCAAAATCCCTGCCACCACCGAGTGTGGACCCCCGCAGCAAAGCGCCAATGCTACGGGACTGGATCATACTAGAACTGTATTAGCAGTCTAAAGGAGGGTCTGTAACACTGCATTTACCGTCTTTGTCCAGAAAGAAAAACAATAATCAACCAAGCAAGTTTAGTGAGGAAGAAAACACTAGCGAGGGAGGGGGAAACCCAGAACCATAGACAAAGATTTTTTTGTTTGTGCTGGGTATACTTGCATCTCAACTCACATTATTTGAGCAGCAAAACAAGATAACATTTAGCCCATGTCACTAGTCTTTTCATCTCCTCTTTGTTATACTGACACTGAAAAAGACATTTTCTACATGGGCTTTCACACTGACTGGGAAGGGGGTCATTAGTCATTGTTTTGACTTGGGCTGAAGGAGACTTGCTCAGACCGAGTTCCAGATAAATTATAATTATTGTGCTCGTTCAATGCATAGAAATGACTTGCATGAAGGCATGTTTTGATCAGGAATCATGCATGAGTAATCATAGTCCACAAGACACTAATTCTCAGACCACTGCAGTGACTTGACTATAGTTTGAGGCTGTCCACTGGGGATATTACGAGAACTATAAGTGGAGAATGAAGATTATGGATAGATGATTTATAGAATTTTGGGGAAGTGAGAGTCGTATGATCCTGCCCTTCACTAGTTTTGCTTTTCTACTGACAGATCTTTTAATTAAGCCATTGATTAAAATGTCTGGTGAATGAAGGATGTAAGCAATCAGAGAATCGGATCAGCCAACAACACAAAGTAGGAAATGTTTTTTTGCTGCTCTGAATGTTAGAAGTGTGGAAAGAGTGTATGAGTATTAGAAAGCAGAATATCCTCATGTTGAGGATGCACAGATTTGGAGGGCCGTGTCAGTTGTCCTGAACCAAATCTGGGGCTTACATCTCTTTGTTTACTTACATCCATCATACAGTCACTTTCCTTACTTACCTGTGGTCCCTGTTACAGCAATGAGAGCAGGTAATGTTTCACGCCAAGGAATCCATATCTGGCATCAGTAAGGATCTGGTGTGCGCAGTATCAATAGATATCCCCTCTACTGCTATAGTTCCTGGAGAAGGGACTGAAATATAGTTTCATTTTATCCATTTTGTGCAGATTGCTTTTGTTGTTTTGTTTTGGGCTACCGGAAGAACTGAAAACTGCATTTAGGTAGATACATTAGGTAGTACTCTCACCGATTCATTAATTTCAAGTTGCTCTTTTGTACTCTGTCAGACCCACATCAGAATTTCCCCTTGAGGGACGTCTTTGAGTTGCCAGCTTTAGAAAAACAAAGCCTTGAATTCCTTCTTTGATGTCCTTGAGACGCAATCATTCCTAGAAAAGGTTTTGATCAGTGAGAGTGACACTGACCACCCGAAACTGCCGAGTTAGCCGAGAATTATCACAAGGACATGCCTTGTCGTGCCTAGCTTGTATGGAAAGGTGGACTGTAGAATCAAATGGTTTTTGTCTTGTTTTTCAGGGAGGTGGATAGGCAATAAATAAGTATAAACATGGACCAATAAATAGGTAGCGCCCCTCCCTTCAGGGTTTTAGACTGACTGCCATGAGAACAAGAGAGATACAGGAGAACAGAAGAATAGTGCTTTGGTCTGAGTCGGAGTGCTGAAAGTCCCATGTTTGTCAGTGTATCATTGTGCTTTTGTGGGACCTCTTAAACACTGTGTGGTGTTGGACCCAGGCTCGCACCATCTTTTCACGTACTTGCAGGCTTTCAAATACTATCACCTGCTTCAAAAATTATTAGCCACAGACGGAGGTAGAAACACTTGACATGATAAAACATCAGCAGGCCTCACATCGACGCAGTTCTGTTGTATAATAAGCTTTGTGGGTGTTTTTCATATAAAAAACCTGAGGCTTTGTTAAGTGGTACACAAGACACAGCTGCCTCCTTAGGTGTTCCTGCCATTTCTTTTCTACACAGGAGTGATGGTCCTATTTATAAGTGGATGACTATACATAAAAATCTGGCATCCATCGTCGCACCACTAATGCCATTTGGTGTGTTTAACACTGCCTGTACCAGACCCCCCTGTCTGTAACAATAACTGAGGTCTGTTTACAATATGAGGTCTCTGAATCAGTTTGGCTGCTGCACACTAAAAACCAAATACATTCCCAATGAGAACCACAGGAGGAGTGAGTAATGTCATTCAATTTACCCATGTTCATCTTGGATGTAATGTTTTAGAATGATACATTCACACTTGGAGAAAAAAAAAAGAAAAAAAGAAAAAAAGAAGCAAAAAAAGACAAAAAAAGATACAAAAACATATATATGTACAGTGCAGGCTATGATGTAAATGGCACAATCGCTGAAAAAGAACGAACTTTTTGAGAGAAACTATAAATATTGTATTATATTCTTTTATTTTATCCGCATGCTTTGTTGTGTTTTTTGTAAATACGGAATTTTAAAAATGTTACTACTAATAATCAAAAAATGAATAATAACAATAATATAGAATGGCTTCCAGCTATGCCCTTTGTCACATTTGTTACCTTTTGGATTTTTTGAGACACTTTTCACTTTGTTGACGGAAATTGAATGAAATATAGATATTATATAATGCAAAAGATAAATACATGTATACATATATGTCTATATGTATATACATAAAACAGAAGAACACTGTTTGTCACATTTGATTTATGTGCAACACGTTCAGTGGATGTCTAAAACTGGTTGTTTCCAGCACCCTTCTATGTTTGGGAATAGCTCATGTGCGATGTTACTGGAGCTGCTTGCCATGGATTGTAGCCTGATCATGATGAAAGGATACTGTTACCAGCACATTTCTCACTTACTGTCATATGTCTCACCTTCACTGAGTATACAGGACACACCCACAGTCATGGACACAAACACACACAGGTGACTCTCCTCACTGCCCACCATCTTTACCAGTGATCTCTTCCCGGAGGACGTCAGCTGGTGTGACTGGCTGCCTCGTGCACCCTGAGACGGTACCTACCCCAGGGCCTTTTTCCCATACCCACACATCAGTGCCATTACAGCTCAACATGCATACAATCATGTACTTGCTTCATATCCTCACGTTTCTTTTGTTGAATAGTTTGTTTCCAGTGTTTCACTCAATGGCATGTGCCTTTTTTCTGCTTTTTCTGTGAATTTGGACATTGATGCCACACTGAAAAAAACAAAAAAAGAAACAAACAAAAAAAAACAACAATAAATATGTTTCCAAACTGTGGAGGGTGGGGGTTTGGGGGTGAGCACAACATTAATCAGGGATGTCGAGTCAGAAATACTGCCGGAGGATCATCCAGACCAGTTCATCTTAATATTCAACAGTGTGTGATGTTAACAGAAAAACAGCTAACTCAAAAATGTCCTGTTCTTAGTGCTATGTGTGTCACCCACTTGGCTTGTGAAAAAGCAGCTTGCCTTCTATATTTCTGTTTTATTTCTTCAATATTTCTGTTTCCATCTGAAATTTATTTTTGTATCAATATTTGATTATAGGACTCATTCTTTTTTAGCATGGTTTATTATGGGCGTTTTTTTTTTCCTTTTTGCTGAGAAATTAAAAAGTGCTTTTCAAACTGTTGTTATCATTTGACACCGTGATAAAAGAGGATATACAGTACAATATGATTGTGTGTTGCACAACCACTTGGACTCTCGGTAAGAATATATGAAAGATTGTCTTCATTTGAGCACGAACCTTTTTATTACCAATAAAGCAGCCTTCCAGTTACAACTTGTGTGTTGTTTTTTTAATGAAATGTTTTGAGATTTGCTAAGTAAAAATATTCCCTCTTGGAAAGAGATGCAGACTGACATGGCAAAGCCTCTAGATTTCCTCCTCTGTCCTCCAGTCTTATTTCAGATTCATTGTGTCCACTTTAAGTAGTGGTCACCATTTTGTGCAGATTATTTTACTTTTGTGGTGCTGTATGTGGATGCAAGTGGATTACAAAACATCCTGTGAAATGGAGCTGAGTGGCGCCGTGGTAACAGGGCTGTGAAAGGCAGCCGTTCAAATGTAATGGACTTATTGAATTTGTTAAGAGCCCCGTGTTAACATCCCCCTCACAGGCAGAATATGGACTATAGCCCCATTATTATGCAGTCCATCTGTACTGTGATGCTCCTTTTTGTGGTCCACCATAAAGTAAATAGCCTAGAGGTCTGAAATTACAGCACTCACCCCCATAACCTCACAACCTCATGAGAACAGGGCTGAAAAAGCAATGTTGGGGGGATATTGATCTGTTTGTGCTTCTCCAATTGGTTTGGAGAGGGGGGAGGAGGGTTAGAAACCATTTTTTGGAGAGTAAGTATGTAAATGATGCATGGAGTTGTTCTCAGACAGTGAAGGCACTGAATAGATGAGAAATTCTCCATGGAGTACACCGCCCTTCCATTCTCTCCTCCCTTTCCTTTTTTGTCACATTAGCCTACAAAATGTTGTCTCCCTGGCTCCTTTCACTCCCTGAAGTCACATCCACTCTCAGCATCTCCCTCCTCCCCCGCCCTTCCACAATCTCCATGAATTTTTGTATAATATTTTCAAATCTATGTGTCTTCTGTTATGTATCATCTACACATATAGGCAATGGGAAGCTGCTCCTTATTGACTATCGACCCTGTCCCTCTCTCTCTCTCTCAGGATGGCTGTGAGGAGAGAGAACCAGGAAGGGGAGGGGGAGGGGGGAGGTAAGGAAAAGAGAAGAGGAAGGGAGGTGGTGGAGCACTGCAGTGCAGATAAATTAATGCAGCAGTCGAGGCTGAGTCAGCAGCACACTCCCAGTTTGGCCCAGTGCCTCCATCAGATTGTGTCCATGCACTGCTGCCTAGGAGACTGGCTCCCACGCTAAAAAACAAAACAACAACAACATTTCATCCTAAAATTAGGTTCGTTAACGACATTTGAAAGCGCGAGGAGCAGCCTGTGTTTGCAGCTCGCCATGCAGAGGAGCTGTCCTCGGTGCTGGAGATGGTCCTGGGAGGACGGACATCCTCTGCCCGGCTCTGAGGCTGCTCGGATGGTGTTGGAGGGAACGAGGACAGCGCAGGTTGGCGCGGAACTAAACCCAGCCACAAAAATGTGTTCAGTTTGCGGAGGAGCTCGACCTAATTCGGAGACAGCCACACCTACACTCCCCTCTCCCCCTCCTCCGCTCGCTTTCCTCTCATCCCACCTCCTCCCTTCCTCTGAAGTATGTTGCCACATAGCATGTGGTTTCTCTGTGGGTAGACCTGAACGTGGCTAAATATAATGATTTAACGTGTCACCATATTTTCTTTTGCCATGATTAGCTTCTTTAAGGAGAGACTTTTATACACGTGCTTACGCCACCTTATATCATTTAATCACTAATGAGAGCTATACATTATTTACAAGGACTCCATTCGTCCATTGCAATACACTGCTTGGACTATATTGTTAATTTCTGTCCTACTCTTATTCCCTTTCCTCTGTCAGTTTGCTGCAGACCTGCTGGTAAATATCAAACAGGCAGAAAGTTGTGAATAGCCAGCAGTAAAAGGGGCTTTTCCTACTATCTGATCCCATTTCAACCCTTGACTGAGATCAGAGGGTTGCGTTTGTGTTCTGCTGGTGTTTCCTACCTTTCTCCCTCCCTCCCCTCATACCCTGGTCTCCCTTTCTCCCCTGGAGAGATAGACTGAGGAGGGAGGACTTTCCCAAAGAGGGAGCTCTCCACATCATGGTTAGGCACAGCTGCACCCTTCTCAATGACAAACGATGCAGCAACACAGGCACATATACATAAAAACCTACACCACCACCACCACCACCAGCAGTTATAGCCTGCAGTTTATCTCCACCTACCTAAAATCCACCAGCCCCTCCTTTCAACTAAATGTTAACTCAATTACTTAGTGGATTTTTTGCCTCCCTCATTGCATAACCTTATTGTGCAACAATGTAAATTTGTGTGAACAAAGTGTGTGCTATATACAGTCTGCACTGCAAAAGGAAACAAAACAGATGCCTTTACACCCACACGCTGCTTTTTTTTTAAGACTTCCCAAATCACCCTGGGTTGAGCCTGAGCTGTTTGGCTGGCTGATTTTTCAGATTTTCTAAACAACAGCACCCACCTCTGGTCAGCACCGTGTATGTATGAAATGTTTCCCCCCTTTATACAGATCACAGAATAGGACGGCAATCCAAAAACCTTGCATTCTAAAATCTTGAATATGTATTTGAAAAGACATTTGTGTGCATCACAACATCAAACAAAGGCATACAGGTGAATCACAATGGATTCAGGAAAGACCATACATCAGAAGTTATCGTATCGTGCATGAAAATTCTTCTCTGTAAGACGTAGGTATCTGAACATGATCGCGCATTTACTGGTGAAATTAAAATGAAATAACAGATGGACTTTAGGTTTGAAGAACATATTTAGGACATTTCAAAATAACAAGATAAGAAGTTGAACATCTTGATTATATTTCTTCACTTTGTTGCTCATTGTGGAAACGGCAAAGTGCAAAATGTGCATTTTATTTGAAAACACCACAGAATAAATAAAATGACCAAAGGTTTCTAAAATTGTTGCAGAGGATTTATCTTCTCTTTTGCTGCTGGATGATGTAAAGCAGTATCAAGTGTACAGTACATGTGGTCTGGGCTGTCTTAAACTTCTGCTGCTGTATTGTAGAGCAGGTCTTTATGACATCTGCAAGTAAAATATAAGGGGTTGAGGTCAAACAAGATACATCTAATATAAAATACGGACATGAGATGTGAACTGTTTCTACTTTGATCTCATATTACAGAGATGTACAGTCTCTCTACATTATCATCTTAATGGCTGTTAACACTTGACAGAACTGCACATCTATTTCTATTCATTTCTATGCAATCTGCAGTACAACACACGGTAACTACTGTGTTGCCCCCTTACAGTCCTATCAAACCATCACTGAAGAAGCAGCTTTGGTATAAATGTTGCTTTTCAGCTCACCCTTCTGGTTTGGTGCTGGCCAGCCACTCCACAAAATCTTTAGCCTTAATCTTATCAAGATAGTTGGTGAAGTCGCTGCTGAATGTCCCATCTGAATGCCTTTTGAGGTTTTGGATGGTTTTCTGTCCTTTTTCCATCTGATGTGAAGACAATCTAAGAAAAGAAATGATGATGAGTTAAAGTATTTTAATTTACAGTCAATTTCAGCTCTAAGCATCATTTCACCAACACACTTCAAATACCTATGACAAAAGGGTATTTATTTTGTTTTAGCCTTTTTCAGTAAAAGTTACACTACAGTAAATTTATTAAAAAGAGACAAATGGACCAATGAACTGAAGCTGTCATTTTGTGTCAGATATAGATTTCACAGAATTTTTGCTGCTCAATCATATCAAATTAAAAAGTGATGCTAAATGTTCAAACATACCAATATCCAAATGAACGTGACTTAACACATACCTTGCCAGTCTGACTTTATCCACAACCATCCCTTTACTGCTCGAACAGAGAAGCAGGACCAGCATACACCACATGGGTAGGCTCATCCTCATCCTCACCTAGTCAACAAATAACCAAGAACACAAACACACTGATTTATCCTGCTAAATTAGATCAGAAAACAACACAATAATTTGAGATAGGTTTAGGTCGTAATGAACAAATTTACCTTGGGGAAACCTGATACGTGTCCAATGAAATGCTGTACTTGCTTGCCTGGAGCAAGTGCAGTATAATATTGACACCACGAAACTCTTCAACACCTTGAAACAGCACCTTGAAGATACACTGGGAGTGGACCAAACTACGCAGACTGATCATTTCTGACACTTTATAAAGACAGCAGGTGTCCCAGTGTGACATGTATGTCACCTCCCACAGCAGATGACCCTCTCCCTCATTATGGTGGTTTGGATCAAAGCTTATCTGAACTAGAATGGCTTGTGCTCTGCCCACAGGTCAATGTCAGAGCCCTCTGTCACTTAGTCAGAGAGTCGCAGGTGTGAAGAAATGTTGTTCTGGTGTCTTGACGTCAAGGACATGACTTCTGACTTCTTCATGACTGAAATCTAGACGATTGAGCTTTCATTTGCAGCATTTCAGTCTTCCAGGACATTTAACAATACTAAGGTAGATATTCTGTTCTGTATGTGCATGCATAATTTAGTAAAAATTTTTAATAAAAGCCTTAAAACAGTTAGCGATGGACATCTATTTTAATACTGCAGTCATCCCATGATAAACTTTAGTGTGTAATTGCTGTATTGATGAAATGCAACATATGACTTTTAAGGTTTTTTTTGCAGTGACTTCACCATCTGATATTCTGTTGCAAAGGACAAAACACAGAGATACTCACAGGAATTCGAACCCTGAGTAGGGCCTGATGTAGAGACTCAGCTCAGTGATCTCAAACCACCACAGATGGCACTCCACTCCATCTTGTCCCATCCGTCCCTTTTGTCATGTAGTTTCCCCTGCAGCCTCTTCCAGCACCACCTCACAGGTACATGTACATGTATAATAGGTAGATTTTTCCTGCATCTGTAAAGTAATTTGTGACATGATAATTCTCAAGTGGTTTTGCAATATTTAACCCAATAAGGAACATTGATTGATCAAATTAAGTGCACGATTTAGTCCTAAATATAAAATATTGCAAGTTGTATATTTTTCTTTAATTAAGTTGTGTTCCATTTACCTCGCAAAGGCACCATAGATAATGTAGATAATGATGTCATTAAGAAATAGTACGACCCTAAACTGGCTGTTTTCATCATACAATGTGAACAACTGCAGATGAAGCAATTTCTAACTTGCACATTGAGCATACTATGGTAGCTTGCAAGTTATCACATACACATATCTTATTGTGCACGAATACATTGAATACATTTTGATGGGTGCAATAAGAACCAGGAAGAACTTTACTGCCCCGCCAACCACCACCAGACACATGCAGCTATTTCACATGCTACAGTGTAAATCAAGCTGTAACGTTACATGTCTATGATATCAAGCCATTCATGATTCCAGTTTTCTTAAGTTGTAAAAGAAAACTGAAACAATTGTTTTGAGGTAGGTATGCGTAATACTGTGTTCGTATCTCAACGCAAAACAATGTCCAAGCAATTAATGCTACAGCTAGCCACCTAGCACTATAGCTAGCTAACATTAGCGTGATAGGTGATACCGTAGATGCTAGCGCCAGTGATGTTGGCCAGCAGTTTGTTGAGATGATAGTTACATTTACTGTTAGATCTTCAGAGTGTGGACATCATGGCCGGTGTTGTGCCGGATACTTAGCGATTCATCGACCCTGTAACGTTAGCTGCGTAATTTTAACTAACTTTTTAACTAACTTTAACGCTAGCTAGGTAGCAACAGTGTAAATTATTGTTATAAGTTAGCTAGCAATAATGGTCTAATGTTTGCAAAGTTAGCTATGAAGAGGAGAACAAAACCAGCAGATTAATCCCAGAGGGGTAGATCTGAACACATTAGTCATTAATTGTTGATTGTTTTTTTAAGCAAAACAGTCTTGACTTCAGCTTATCAAAGTGAGACGATTTGCTAGTTTTCTCTGTTTTACTGTTATTGTAAACGCTGTAGGGGTTTTGGACAGTTGTGGAACAAACATCTGAACATGTCTCTGGAACATTTTTCACTATTTTCCGTAAAAATGATTACGTTAAGCGATTAATGGAGAAAATTATCGGCAGATTGATATTGAAATTAGCCTTATTTGCAGTCCTATGGTAGTCTTGGTTAGGAAGTTTAAAAGAGCTGACGTTATCCAAGTAAACTCGTTCAGATGGACATGATGGGCAGGCAGGTTTTAAATTAATTAAGGAAGTTACAAATATAAGCGTGGGTGCATAATTGTACACAAATATGAGCAATTTAGACAATTAAACATGCTTGTACTGTGGTACAATGCCCTTAATATACAAACCTCAAGGGAACAAACAGATAGTGTGACACTGTGTTAATATACAGAATTAATAAATTACATTTTTATTGTTTTGTCAAGCAAAACATTGAACAAATCAGATGGAAAACACATAAAATACTCCACATAAATAAAATAACATTTCAGCCACCCATACACACCAAAACTACCAAACCCCTAAAAGACAAGCAATGTTTTAAGGCTGCATTTAAAAGAAGATGCAGTTACAACAGATCTCAGGTGATCACGCAGTTTGTTCCAGAGAACAGCACCATAGTGGCCAAATGCAACTTCACCTGATTTTGTTTTTTTCTAGGACACATTCAGGAGACACATGCTTAATGATATGAGACATATGATTGGCTATAACCAGTGAGAAGGTTGGAAATAAATTGAGCCTAACAGTTAGGGCCTTGTAAACCAGCAATGGCAACAAAGCAGAATTCATAAACCAGCGAAATCAGAATAAATACAAATTAAAAAATCCATTTTGCCTTCTTTTCCAGGCCTTTGAGACAAAGTTAGCAAACTTAAACACTTCCAAATTAAACAGCCATTCCAGTGTTTGCTCATCTGTACACCAGAATATATCAGGGTTTTGTCGAGACATTTCATGGAAAATTGACTCTAAAATCATCATAGCTTTATAAAAGAAAATAGGACTCACTTTTCCAAATCAAACAGCTCACATAATTGGTTTTCCTCCTGAATACTTGTGAATCGACCAACCTCGACCAATGAATACCAGCTCTTGACACGCACATATGTCCTTAATTTTGGCTTTGACAAGATATTTTCAAACCATTTTTCTTCAAACTTAATGTGAAAATTACAGTTGACATTGCATTGACAGAAGTGGGTGACATACTGTGTCGTCATTTGATTTTAAGACCACACATAGCTATATGTATAATATAATATGCAGTCTATGGTCTAGCTGTAGTTTGTAACTAACAGGTAATTCATATTTATTTTGCTTTGGTGGTTTGAGTCTCAAAGTTAACTTTGAAATTTCTAAGATAAATAAATACCAGCCAAACCTTGGTCGTTTAACAACAATAGACATTTTCAGATTCCTCAAAGACCGGACTCCCTCTCAGATTTGCAGCCAGGGCCCTAGTGAAGGGGGTGTTTGAAAGTTTCTTCTGGACAGGACTTTTATGGACATCTCAGGATGTTCAGCAGAGTACAGAACTGACATCCCCTCTCCAGCTGCCAAGAACTTCAGTCAACCCATTCGAGTCATGTACCCATGTAAGCACAGACTATTCGCAGTTTTGCTCAGCTGGACTTTGTTTCAGTGCTTTACTTCTTGCCCTTCACAAGTTCATTCAGATCAAAAGACAAAATCAAGCGCCAACTTTTTGCTGCACTCTCGTGTAAATGACAAGCTCTAGCTCTCGCAGCATCATGTATAATTTTATAATTTACCTTTAAATTCTCACACAATAGTTTGACTTTTAATTCTGGTGTCATCACGTCCTGGTGGGTTAGACTGCGTATTTGGTTAAGATTGTAAGACTATAAGGTGTCATCTAATCTGAAACAATGGTCTCTATTCAGTAAAGTTAAGCAGTAGGCATGATGAAAAAATGACCCCTTACAGATTTTTATGTCGCTTAAAATAGAGTATAAGATTTTCTTTTCTTTAATGCTTACAGTTAATCAAAGGTTAGCCTGTGAGGGCTGTTGCTGCACCCAACCACTCACCGCAATGACTGGCCTTTTCCATCTCAAGGTAAGACGTTTTTTTAAAAAAAACAATAACTAACTTGGTCTCGTTAAAGTTTAAGCATGATCTGTTATTCAGATTCTGTAAAGACACTCAGTCATTACTTTCTGGTAAACAACTCCAACAACTAAACAGGAGAAATAGGCTACAAGCTATAAATAATGGTCTAGCTGAGCATAATCATCTCCCTATTTTATTGATAAACATGACTTTGTATATATTTTAAAGTCTTGCTTTTTATGTTGCAGTTTCTTTATGTAGTGTACATCTAGGCCCTGACCAATAGGTGTCAGACTTGACCACAGCACTGCAGCGAGGTTGCACACGCTCTCATGTTTGGGTACCTCAAACTTTTCTGTAACCAAGACCCTTGTTTTTAGGTCTTAAATTCTTATAGCCCCATCAATTTGAACAACTTATCAGGTCAGTTATGTCTGTTATATTCTTTATTCTATATTCAAGAGCTGCATTTGGATTATACAGAATTGCTGATACATTTTTTAAACATTTAAATCTTTTTATTAAAAAAAAGTGTCTTGTTCTCTTCTCAATCAACCCAAAGCACTAGAAACCGCTCTTTTATGAGCAGCCTAAAATGTACAAAGGTCCTGCTTAGTACGGACGTTGATTGTAATTTGGGCTTTTAGATGCCTCACATAATGAGATAAAGGCACTGATATAAAAAAGCAAATATTTGATTGTTTTGGTCTGTTAAGGAAGCTGTGGTAGCATGTTGGGATGGTGCAGTAATATAGTATTCATAAGAATTGTGCTGAATCCTTGGAGAAATATACACACCTAGCTCGCAATTCATACTCACTTTTCTCCTGGAGGAGCACTTGAGTCTAAATTCGATACATATATTATCACCAAGAGAAGATGGGGAGTTCAGAGCAGGGATCATATAGCCGAGGGTCATGCTTACAGGGGCTGCAGCTCTGTTCTCTCTGCTGCTGCTTGATAACTTGGTGCTGATTGATACATTAATATTGCATTGATCCGTGCCATTTCCTACACAGAGGCACTCCTTTACATTGCATCACTTTAAAGTACGGGGGAGGTTGTTGAGTTTCCCAGTATGCTGTGTTATTTTGTGCTTGCTCCTGTACATTAGGTTAATTTCCTGGAGAAAACACGAGTTACATCTAAATGAAAAGAAAAAAGATTGTGCCTAGCATCCGAACGATTGTTACATAAGATTAGTTTACATTGAAGAGAAAATCCCACACAGGGCTCTTATATGGATCATGTCTCACTTTGGGTCTGAGGCCAGTGTCTGCAAATCATAGTGGACGCTACACATTAGACAGTTTATCTGCAACAACAAACACCTTCTCTGGAAAGGCATAACAGATCTTTGAATGCTACAGGAGACAAAACAATAAGGCTATGAGATATAAACATCACGACCGAGGGCAGTGGTTTAGCCTGAGATTTTTCCTTCAATTTATTTGGGCAGTTAATGACAGGCTATCAGATTCCTATCTCCCTTTCCTGCTCTCTCCCCTCTCCTGCACCCTGCTGTAGCCTGGAGGACTGTTTTGGCGAGCATCTGGAGGCAGGCTGTTGAATAGGCTCCATTCTTGAAGGGCCCTGCGCCTCAGCGAGCGCACTCAGGGCATGGACACTCGGCCACGGTCCACGGAATGAGGCCGAGCCGGCTGTGGGGGGGGGGAGAGGCCCAGCAGCAGCTCACGTTAGTTGTGAATTTTCCCTGTGAAGTTCCATCCACTTCGTCCCCACAAAATGTTGCCCCTGCTGCCTCCCATTCTTCTTTTCCTTTCCTCCATCTCTTGTCCTTTCTCTTTTATTCCCCTGCAAATGGAAATGAAGGAGAGGCCCGGTGGTCCTGGTGGTGCCTTTTTGACAAGAACAGGAGGAGTTTGATTTCTTTCCCCCTTATAACAGGATCTTAAATACTGAACAATGCTCTGTAGCAAGGACTCAGGCCTTTTCTCCACAGGGGGAATAGGTGGAGGGGGTGGTGGTGCAGTCAGTTCCGGCAAATATGGTTGCGGAGCAGCTGAGAAAGTCTATTTTCAGCGGTTTTGGAGGATGCTTGTGGACAACTGTGGTCTCAAATCTCAACCGCCAAGTGATTGCCTTGTACGCTTTCATGGCCTCATGTCATTTCCTTGGGGTAAAGAGAGCAAGGGAGGGTATTTCAGAACAGTTTGAATGTTCACCTTAATAATGTTCACTCTGACTTTAAAAGAGGATTAATGTATTGATTCAGTCTTTATAATTTGAGGATTTGAAAACATCTGCCTGTAATGAAAAGAGCGTAGAGATTTAGTTAGAAACAGTTCATTCTGTGTCAGTCCAATCAAAAAATACTGCATCTTTTCAGTTTAAGGCGGTCGATCATAACTAATATCCTCTTGTAATCTTTGCTGACAAAATTTCACTAATATAACTTGTACGGATTTGCTTTGAAGACTTTTGAACTTCCTTCCCTATTGATTTTGGGGCTGTGTATCGGGGACTTCTTGTGTCTGCCCTGGCTGTTTTCTGGTTCAGATGTTGGATCAATGTGTTTGTGTCTGTGTAGGGAGGCTCTGGCTCGGGCCGGAGCTGATCTGCAGAAGGTAATGGGATTGTAAGTGTCTGGCAGAGAGGAGGAGCGCTAATGAAATGAGGGGCCAGGGCTGTCAGAGTGAGAGATTTTAACTGACAGCTACCCGCATCAGAGGATACACACCATCTAGAGTGCCGTATGTGGGGGATTTCTCTCACACACGTGGGAACGCGTGCATATGATTACATGTGTTTATGCCCATGCAGGCACTGTGCTTTCACGGGCTCACTGCTTCTGCTGACAGTCAGACATGATCACACGAGTAAGTGTTTGCTAACTGTCATTAGCTCTGTGAGTTTGTTGCTCTTCTGCAGTGATAGACCAAAACCACAGGATGACAATGTAACTACAGCGTGGTACAGCAGGGTAAGGCATGACCAGCTCCTGCATTTCCTACTCTGCTGATAGTTCTTATCTGAGAAGGCAGAGAAATAGGGTAGTGCTGTCCCTGCAGCTGTCAAAACAGCCTCTCTCTGTCTGTTTACTTGGTGCATGTTCCTCAGAGATAGAGCTTAGCTAAGCTGTAAGAAAGAGGTTATAGATTGCCATGGTGCAATTTGTGCTGGACTCTTAGAGGAGGCGGTTACCATTTAGGTTATCTAAACTAAACAAAAAAAAAGCATTTCATCTTGTTGTTATATCCTATTCCTGCCTAATACTCCCTTGGCCATTCTGTGAATCGCCTTCCTTTTTGTCCATGCTTTGAAATCATCATATCAGTGCATAAGCCCTATATGTATCCCATTGTGATTTGATTTGGAGAGCAAAAATGGCAGATTAGTCTTAAATCCGCCCAAGTAGATTATCCACTCATCTCTAAAGCTCATGCATTGAGGGTTCCTCATAAATGCCTCTTGTGGTTGAGGGGGCAGGAGTGCCCAGCTTACCCGTGGTCAGGAGAACAGGACCGATCTGCATCCACAATGCCATCCGTGTCTGCTTATTAAAAGTGCGGTTGACCCCGGTTTTTCCCCTGTGTGCCTCTTCCCATTGTGTTCTATCTGATTGATGTTGACTGGGGTCACCTAAGCCCATACAAGGGATCACGGCACAGTGCACAGGGGGCTAAATGTTTACATGCATTCATTTGACTTTACCCAGGGGTCTGCTGGCCCAATCCAGGGTCGGCCTGTGGACAGGAAGACTAGGCCATATGTCATGCTTTTTTCCACCACTGGATTTAAGGTCTGACCCACCAGGTTATGGAGGCTAGTTAGGAAGAATAAATACTCTTTGTGGGCGGGTCCATACCTTGTGTTTTGGCTTCAAGCTTTCAGCTGTGACACCAGACGTGGCTCTTAACATGAGTGGGTCGAGGAACATTTATGACACTAATGTTGCTTCTCTGTGGACATTAACTTGACATTGACAGACTTGACAGACAGAATAGTTTTTCAGCCATGCACTTATCTGGAGCCGAATGTGACAGTGAGGTACAGAGATGAATGAATGGTAAATAGTTGAGCTTAAAAAAGAGAATATAAAGTGCTCCCGGTGTAAAAAGCAAAAAACAAAAACAACAGGACTGACCTGTTCTGATCTGTTTACAGCAGCGAGGGCAGAAGTGAACATTTGGTAGACAAGCTCTGACTTAGGGTTGGGTTATGCTCAGTCAGAACTACTTTGTTCGAAGTGTTTATCGGCTACACTAGAAGGAGTAAGGAGCCGGCTGTTATAAATAATAGCTTTCTAATAATAATAACTTTCTTTGCTTGGCACTATTCAGTGCTGTACAGTAGAAATCCATACTAAAAATATATAAATTAATTAAAGTAATTATAATAATAAATAATTCAGCAATTAATGCAATTTATTTGTTAGTGTTTAAATTGCTGTATCTCTAATTCAGTGATACTTTCAAATGTGTGACTTTTTGTAATTTTTCATTATAAAAAACACCTTCATCAAAGATTTTCTCCTGAATGAAACGAAGTTCAATGCAAAATTAATAGGAAACAGCTATGTGCCGTCTTGCTTTTCTTAAAGTAGTACTAAAATTATTGATTTTAGAATGTATAAAAAAGCCAAGTCCAACTACATTAACAATTACAGTAGGAACAGTAATTACTAATATTTGTAATTAGTTAATCTCTTACTTTTGTTACTCCATGAGAAGAGTCGTACGTGTATATGACTAGTAGTATATTTCTAATTAGAGGGTAATATTATTCTTGAAATTGAGATGGTTGGGTATCTTGGTGGCCTGGGAGTTTAAGATGCTGACTGTGTATGAAATAATTAATAGTTTTATTTATGTCCTATCCCTCATGGAAATATTCTGGTACAGTAAGCAGCAACAAAGCAAAGATTCTGATTTCACCAGCACAATATACTGCATTCATTTCAGCGTCTTCTGGTCAAGTTGTATGTAGCTGTACTACATCGATTTTGCATTACACTCCCATGACATTGTCGGACACACAATGGA